GCCAAGGCAGCGCTTTGTTTAATGCGCCGGCCATGGATGGTTTGGGCGCTCTCGGTTGTCGGCGTTCTTCATGGTGGGCAGGTGCAGTTTGGTATCTGCCCATTTGCAATTGGCCCCGGCAGTGTGGACTGCCGCCAGGGGGCTTCCCACTAGATGGACGGTGTAGGAAGGCACTGGGTAGATGTAGGGCTGGGGAGTTGAACTTCCCGGGCTTCGGGCTTGGCCAGGGGAGCATGACTTTCACCCTGGCCCCCCAGCTTTAGGGGGCTGAGTGTAGTGTCTGCACTGTTGGAGACCGTGCGTTCTGTCCTGTCTTGGGCTGGCCGATTGGCCCTGGCAGGAAGGAGTTTAGGGGTGGGGCGATCTCCTCCCTGATACATCTTGAGGAGAAGTTGAATTGTGGGGGTCATGGAGATGGTGCGGTCCTGGCCCCAGTTGACTTCCTCCTCTTTGGGGATACCCCCAGCAGGTGATCGGCTGAGGGGCTCTGCCTTTGTGGGGCCTCTCAGGGACTTGCACAGATTGGGTGATAACTGGGAAGATTGTGTCCAGTTCTGACCTCTCCTCAATGATGGGCCAAGGCCCGACGAAGCATGGCCTGGTCACCCAGCCCTGGGCCCTCCGCGGGTGGATGGCGCGGGAAGGGTCCCTCTTGATGGTGTTGTAGGTTGACCTCGACCTCAGTAGTGGACGCAGCTCCGGGCGGTGATCTTCGGAGGCCTCCCCACTCCACTACCTCGGAAGAGAAGGAGTGATCTGCACTGCTGGTGGAACTGGAGGCCCTGGGCTGTTGCACCTCCACGGTAGTGCCAGGGACCCCACGAGATGGAGGTCGGGGGTCCCTGCCCTCCATGATCCCGGGGCTCTTGCTGGTCACTGAGGAGGGCCTGCGCAGTCGGGCCTCCTCCTGAGTCGTGGAGGGCCTACCAGAAGATGGTGGTCTGGTGGCCCTGCCCTCCACTAGGGAGCCGATGGAAAAATGCTCCCTGTGGGTGGAACCCGTGGAGGAGGCCGCGCGCAGGGTCACCTCCTCCGCCGTGGAGGCGGGCCCAGCGGGGGGAGGCCTGGTGGCCTGGCCTTCGGCTCTGCGGGCACTGGGCTCACGCATGCTCCTGGTGGCACTGGAGTGGCGCTTGCCTTGCCCTTTGGGCCCCATCGCCCTGGCCCCCGCGGGGACCGGGCGCTTGCTCTTCCTGAGCCTCGGCGTCCGCGGTGGTAGGCGTCGGCTTTCTGGATGGAAAAGCGCCTTCTAACTCTGTACAATACTCACAAGCCGCAGCTGTAAGATCCTAGGTATACGAGCGCTGGCACGTGCCTTCACTCTCTTGCTAGGATCTGAAGCCCAGAATTCTGTGAACAATGGGAAGTCTGTCCAGGGAAGTCTCTCTATTCCCCAGTACTCTCTAATGTGCTGTGGGCGTGGCTGCAGGAAATGTGTTGGTGGCCCTGACTGGGACTGAGCCACATGCCCCTTGCCTGTCTTCCTTCTTTTTCCTGTACTTCTCTGTTGCTCTCGGAAATGGCTTCATCTGCGGAAATCACCTGTCCACAGGTACCTTACCCGGCATAGTCAAAATAGCTTGCACAAAAAAAGTTGTCTGTTGTTGGTAGGATGACAGAACAGTAACACTGCCCCTTCAAAAACAAACCAGAAAGAAACTGGAGGGAGTTGTAGGGTACATGCTCTTGGCCTCTGAGGGTCTTGTCATGAACTCCTATCCTCTGAAATGCTTCCAGTCCTAGCCTGGGTCGATTAAGGCTGTCTACTACACCCTCAATACAGAAGAATGACACTGATAAAGACACATTGTATATTTCAAAAGACATGTTAAATTGAAAGTCCAGAGACAACTATTTATGGATAATAGTGCACCTCTGATTTAGTTTTGTTTTCTTATAACCTCTTTATGGAGCTCTACTTGAAATATATAAGCTTTAGACATTAATGTGTATCATTTGGTAAGCTTTGAATGTCCATTTATAAAAGTGCTACTGTGATCATGAAAATTGTATTTCCATCACCTCCAAAAGTTTGTTTATTTTTGCTTTTCAGGTAGAATCTTGCATTTCCCCAGGGCTGGCCTGGGCTATAGTCCTCCTGCTTACATCTTCCCACATAGTTGAGGTGATACATACCACTACACACACTGATTTTTAGCTGTTTTTCCAATAACTTCTTGACTAGATTTGCCTTGAACCACATTCCTCTGATGTTTACCTCCCAAACAAGTAGGGTCACAGGTATGAGCCACTGTGGTCCTATCTCCAATCCTAGGGTACTATTGAACTTCTACTTTTCACTGTGGATTTGTTTATAAATTGTAAAAGTATTTATACATTCTACTTTCATTTTCCTTTCTCTTGGCTCTTTTCTTCAGAACAATGATTTTGAAAGGCAATAATAATGCTTCAAATAGTCATAGTTTGTTCTATGATTGTATAGTAACAATCTACTTCAAAGAAGTGCTTTACTTTATTTCTGTTAGAGTTTGGGATATTTGGATTATTTCAAGCGAGAGCCTATTAGAAAAAAAGCTGTTGCATACATTTGTTGAAACATATATATTTTATGTGAAAAGATGCTCTTATTTATTTTTATTAATATTCATTCTTGCTGTTTAAATTCATCATATCAATATCTGAAGTGACTGCAATTGAAAACTATCTTCCTTAGCCAAAAATCAGTGATGCATGTCTGTAATTCTAGCCACTCAGGAGGTAAAGATCTAGAAGTTGGCAGCTTGAGGCCAGCCCAGGCATGAAAGTTTCCTTGAGTCCATTTCCAAAAACAAGACAAGGGTGTGGTTCAAGTGGTGGTCAGCAGCTGAGCAAATGCAAAAGGGCTGAGTTCACCATTCCCAAATCTGAAGAAAGAAAAACATATCCCTTGAGCTGGGAAGGTGGCTCAGTGGTAGAGTGCTTGCCTTGCATGTATGAGGCCCTGGGTTCGATTCCTCAGCACCACGTAAGCAGAAAAATCCAGGAGTGGCGCTGTGGCTCAAGTGCTAGAACACTAGCCTTGAGCCTTGAGCTGAGGGACAGTGCCCAGACCAACCAACAATAAATAAATAAATAAGAATCCCTTTTCTATATGCAGATAGTATTGTTTTACTGAAAAGTTAACTCATATAAAAGAATATAGATGTAAAGAAACTTACTAAGAAATCTATGGATATTCAGAGAAGTTAACCAAATTTCAATAAGGGAGTGGTTAGTAGATCAATAAAACCCATAAGGACAGAGAACTAACTGATCATTTTTCCTTAAATTGCTACTCATTTTTAAAAGATAGTCATAATACTCATAAAAATGATTGCACAGATACTAGAAGCTTTGAAATTACTGCAAAATAGAGGAGAAGAAACATTAGAATTTACAGTCACAGGCAGGAACTTTTTGAAAAGTCCCAGGAGCATAGCAAATAGGAAAGACCTCATAACCTGACTTATGCAATTATAGCCCTTGTACAATTCCTTAAAAATAACAATAAAAATTAAAAAATGGCAATTTAAAAAGGGCTGGATTAGAGAACTAGAAATGTCCCAAAATATAAATAGTAGTTTATCAGGGATCTGAGTAGTGAGATAGATGATCACCAATTTAAACTCTCACTCTCTCTGTTTCTCAAGATTTGAATTCATAGCCTTGACGTTATTCAGTAGGCACTGCTGAGCCATCTGCAGCCCTGGTGTTTGGTCAGTGTGTGTGTGTGTGTGTGTGTGTGTGTGTGTGTGTGTGTGTGTGTGTGTGTGTGTGTGTGTGTGTGTGTGTGTGTCCAGTCCTGAAGCACCTGGGCATCATCACTAAGGTTCTTTTGCCCAAGACTAGCACTCTACCACTTTAGCCACAGCACCACTTCCAGCTTTTTTTGTTTTTGTTTTTGTTTATGGGGTACTAAGGAATGGAACCCAGGGCTTCATGATCCTTAGGCAAGCACTGTACCACTATGCCACATCCCCAGCCCCTGCTTATTATTTTTAAGATAAGGTCTCCATTCCTGCTTTAGCTTAGGCTTCCTGGGTAGTTATGGTAACAGGTTTGCCACTCCATCCAGCTCTTAGTTGAGAAGGATCACATACTTTTCTCTGCCCAGGCTGGCTTTGGAACAGTGATCCCAACAATCTCAGACTCATAAATTGCAAGGATTAAAGAAGTAAGCCACTGTTGCTCAGTTCTTTTATCCTTTTATATACCTTTTTCAGATGTGTCATTTTATAATTACACTTCAGATTTTCTACACTATTGCTTGGAATTGCAGTAAGGCATGAAACTAGGAGTTATACTTGTAAAAGAAAATAGTATTGATAACACATTTCAATTTCTAAAGCAGATTGTATATTTTCTTGCATTTTATTCCATCATGGGTTCTTTGCTATTTTTTAGGCACTTCTCTCTTTTTGGGGGCTTTTCATCACATTGGTTCCTACCAAAAAAATGCAGAGGAATTAAAAACGACATCTTTAGCTGTTAGATGGCAGATATGTTAGAAAGTTCAGATTGGTATATTTCATTTCATGTCCCTGCAGTGCTTCTCTACTATAATGCATTAAGAGTTTCGAAATTATGACACTAGTGTTACTTATCACATAAAATATGCCATGCATTCAATTACTGTTATTGCCCACATATATACCTAAGAGCAATCTTTAATCTTCTGCCCTGGGAACCCCACCATTCTGTACACTTCAGAAACAAAATCTTTTTCCTTCTCTAGGGACAGAATTCCAAAGAAGCATAAGGAAAACAGGTATACTCTTGGGTTAAGAATCCATGTCTTCCCATAAAAAGTTCTGATGGGCTGTAATTCGGAGATACTCATTTTCTCTTGGTAAGTACAAGCTTGGGAGGTCCTCCTTGAGCTCACTCAGTCCCACCGACCCCTCTTCCTGCAGCTCGACCGTAAGCCCCTCTAGCCCCGCCCCCGTCGCTGTTTCCTGACGTCACTGCGTGCGCCGCGCCACGCCGCGCCGCGCCCTGTGTCAGAGGCGGCCACCATTGTTCTGCCTGTCGCGCCTGCGTGCGTCTGGAGTCTGGGTGTAACTTTGCCCCTCCCTAAATCCTGGTACCTTCCAACGAGTGGGAGAGGGGACCGGTCACAGGTTCTGGGCCCCTGAGGCCTTGGGTACAGGCCGCCATGAGTAAGCGGAAGGCGCCTCAGGAGACTCTTAACGGGGGCATCACGGACATGCTCATGGGTTAGTGCCGGTCCCCGCCCTTTATCCTATCCCTGTCCTTCCTTTCCTCTTACCTTCCTCCCTGCCTTTCCTCCTGTCCCCTGCCCGTACCCTTGCGCTTCCCCTGCCGCGCTGCCCTGTGGGTGGCCGCTGTAGGCAGCAGGTATTCCTCCCCCGGGGTCGCCTGTCAGCGCCCGTGCTGCGGGTGCAGCCTTGAAATCTGGCCAGTGGAGAAACGGGTGATCTTCGACCGGAGAAGTTGCCAGTCTTCGTCCAGGGAACTCAGCTTTCCTGTAAACACAGGAAAAACTCGCCACTCTTGTTCACTGGAATCTTTCTGCCTTTTTAGAACTTGCAAACTTTGAGAAGAACGTGAGCCAGGCCATCCACAAATACAATGCGTACAGGTGAGACAGCGGCGCACTGGTAGCATGGCTCAGAGGTACCCTCGTTTCGTGTGGCACTTAACAGGGCTGGGAGAACAGTGGGTATTTGGACCATCTGAAGTAAGGGGAGGGGTGAGAACAACAAATGACAGGTGGTACCTTAATATTTGTTAGAATTTTGGCGGTGCTCCCCATAGGATCGATTCAGATAAATTCTCAATTCTTACTGAAAATAGATACAGCATAATACATGTTTTTCCGCCACCATACGTGAATATCTGGAGATGCAATGTGATTTTAAACCAGTGGAAGAGGTCTGAACTGTAAAACAGGTATGGTTGGAGGAATCACTTCTTACAGTCTGGTTGGTCGGTGACTGATGTCACCTTTACTGGGAACCTCACCAGCGGCCTTCCCCTAGCTATTATTACCACACCCATTGCTGTGCTGCTGCTCTTTAGCTTATAAACATGTCTAAGTACTTCATCTTGTTTTGTTGGTTTTTGTTTGTTTGTTTTGTCCTGGTACTGAGGGCCACTGGGGTTTGAATTCAGGGCCTGGGCATTATCCCTGAATTTTTTTTTCATTCAAGGCTGTAGCTCTACCACTTGAACTACACAGCCATGTCTGGATTTTTGATGGTTAATTGGAAATAAGTCTCATAGACTTTCTTGAGTAGACTGGCTTTGAAACTCAGTCTTCACATCTCAGCCTCCTGAGTGATTAACATTACAGGTGTGAGGCACTGATGTCCAGCTAGTACCTCAACTCTTTGATGTAAAAACAAATGTTGGCTTCACACTAGGCAACACCTTCTTTTCTCATGTTACAACTAGTCTTCTTGAATAGTTTGTGTTTTATGCCTAGACTTCATCTGTAGTCACTTCTTATGCAGTATAATTTTCATCTTACCATTCCTGTGAAATGCTTGCATCTACATCTCACCTTGTTGGACTCTTAGTGGTATTCACTGCTGGCTCATACATTGAAAGTATTTCCCTTGGTTTCTATGATGGCACTCCTGTCTGTTTTTTCATGTCTTTGTCTGTCTTAACTTTTAATATTAGTTTCCAGAGGTCTGCCTTAACTTCTCTTTGTTTGTTTGTTGGTTGTGGGGTTTGAGCTGTCCCTCAGCTCTTCAGCTCTAGCCTAATGCTGTGCCACTTGAGCCACAGCATCACTTCAAGTTTTCTGGTGGTTAATAAGAGTCTCACTGACTTTTCTGCCCGGGCTGGCTTTGAACCGTGATCCTCAGATCTCAGCTCTTGAGTAGCTAGGATTACAGGCTTGAGCCCCTGGCACCCAGCCTAAAGTTCTCTTATCTCATTCTCATACTTCTTTCTTGGCTTTGGATACTACTTGTGTCATTGACTCCAAAGCTGTGTTTTCCTCAGCTTTTTCCCTTCCCTACTCAGTGTATTTTAAACTGAATTCGCTAACCGTACTATGACCCATATGTTGGTGATCTAGTTATCATAATCAACCCTCTATTCAGGTCACAGCATTCTTAAGTGGGAAGTAGGTCTTCCCCTGCTTGTTACTCCCCAGCCAATACATTTCTCTTTCTCTCTCTCTGTCTCTCTTCTCTCTTTCTTTTCTCTCTCATCTCCTCTCTCCTCTCTCTTTGGTGCTAGAACTGTGGTTAGAACTTAGGGCCTAGCCACTATCCCTGACCTTTTGTACTCAAGACTTTACCATTTGAGCCACAGCTCCACTTCTGGCTTTTTGATGACTAATTGGAGATAAGCGTCTCCTGAACTTTACTGTCTGGGCTGGCTATGAACCATGAACCTCAAATCTCAGTCTCCTGAATAGCTAGAATTTCAGCAGGCTCATATTTCCCTTGATTGTGGTCAAAAATTAGTTATATAATCTTGCCGTACTTCCATTGCAAATAAGTACTTTGGCCTTTTATGATCTTCCTTTTCTGCCTTTATCCTTCAGTGCCAATTATCTGGATCTACTTGCCTTTCCTGAAAGGTGAGCTTTTCTTGGCCTGCTTTGCCTACAAATAGGTCCAGTCATATGCTAACAGAGAAGTTGAAATCTGAATCTGAAAGTTTATATACATTAGAATAGAAAAAAATCCAAGGTTTCAAATATTACCAAATATTAATATTAGATAATAGTTAATGTTAATATTATTAATAGTAATGTTTTCCCTCACTGTTACACATCATTAACATCATTATTTTCCTTGTGAAGGACATATATTAAATTGTACATAGTAAGAAAGTGTTAGTCTGACACTTTCATACATGCATATGATATACTTTGATTATGTTTACCCCCTCTATTACTTTTTTTTTGGGGGGGGGGTCTGGTCGTGGGGCCTGAATTCTGGGCCTGGGCGCTGTCCCTCAGCTCTTCAGCTCAAGGCTAGCACTCTACCGCTTGAGCCACAGTGCCACTTTCCAGCTTTTTTCTTTTTGCTTATGTGGTGCTGAGGAATCGAACCCAGGGCCTCATGCATGCAAGGCAAACGCTCTACCACTGAGCCACCTTCCCAGCCCCCCTCTATTACTTTTTATAAACTTTTCTTTTAAAAATATTTTTATTGCCAGGCACCGGTGGCTCATGCCTGTAATCCTACCTTCTCAGGAGGCTGAGATCTGAGGATCTCGGTTCAATGTTAGCTCTGGCAGAAAGTCTGTGAGACTCTTATCTCCAATTAACAATAGAAAACTGGAAGTGGCAGTGTGGCTCTAGTTTTAATAGTGCTAACCTTGAGCTGAAGACAACTGAGGGACAGCGCCCAGGCCAAGAGTTCAAGCCCCACGACTGACAAAAAAATAAAATAAAATATATATATATATGTTTTTTATTGTTATTATAAAGGTGATTTACAGATAGATTACAGTTGCATAAGTCAGGTAAAGAGTACATTTCTTTTTGGACAGTGTCATCCTTTCCCTCACAAACTTTTCCTTTTTTACATCAGTTCTAAACTATGCTTAACATTGAAGTTAGACAGGGTTCAATCATTGAGTGCCCGAAGTTTACTTTATGTCATAGATTCCTGAGCTGGATATGTGTGGAGGTAGGCAAGAGTCACAGATCAGTGTTTGATACTGGACTAACAACATGGAAGCAATTGAAAAAACCCTACTTCCTTGTCATGATGAAACCCATAAAAAATGTGCAAAAAAAAAAAAAGGTGGCGGGGAACTGAGAAAATGACATTAGGCACTCATGGCTCACATTTGTAATCCTAGCTACTCAGGAGACTGAGACCTGGAGGATCAAGGTTCAAGCCAGCCCAGGCTGAAAAGTCTGAGGAGACTTCCTTTCTAATTAGCCAGCAAAAATCCAGTCTGGAGGCATGGCCCAAGTAGTAGAGTACTAGCTGTGATAGACCAAGAGCATAAGGCCCTGAGTTCAAGCCATAGTGCTGGCATGTGCACACACACGTACACACATGTACATGTGCACGTGCGTGTGCACCTCCAGACAAAAACTGTCCATAGTATGAGACTGCCTTTAGTATGAGATATATTGTGAATTTTATGGTGGCATCTTTGTTTGAAAGAATTATGAGGGTTAGGCTGGGCGCTAGTGGCCAAAAAGCTCCATGACCAAGGCTTGAAGTCTTTTTTTTTTTTGTCAGTCATGGGGATTGAACTCTGGGCCTGGGTACTTTCCCTCAGCTCTTCAGCTCAAGGCTAGTGCTCTACCACTTGAGCTACAGCGCCACTTCTGGTTTTCTGGTGGTTTATTGGAGATAGGAGTCTCACGGTCTTTCCTGGGCTGGCTTTGAACCGCGATCCTCAGATCTCAGCCTCCTGAGTAGCTAGGATTACAGCCGTGAGCTAATGGCACCTGGCAGGCTTGAAGTCTTAAACGACCATTTGCTTTATAAGGTACAGCCTATGGTTTTCCTCTTTTTTTTTTTTCTTAAATTTTTTCTTATTTTATCCTGTTAAAAAACTTTAAAGAAAAAAACTCCCAGTGATATTTTCCACTTAAGCTCAGAAAAGAAAACTGCTGCTCTCCTGAATGCATTTAAAATCATATCCTCAAATGTCAGGAACTTCAAAATATTCTTTAAAAGTTAGAGATATATTTGGGGGCCTGTCAGCTATCGATGTTTTAACTTTGCATGGAACTAGAAAATTAGCTGTTTTGGTGAAAGTAGAATATGGATATTTGCTTGTATGTATGTATGTATGTGTGTTTGTATGTATGTATGTATATTAGTTTAAGAAACAGTAATTAAGATCTTGATTTTATTTTAATTTTATTTTTATTATTGTCTCTGGGTAGTTGTACAAAGAAGTTGTTATTTAACAAAGCAGTTTATGAATACAATACTACTTGATCAGTGTCATCCTGGATTTTTAATTATTTCGCTTTTTTATCCTTGCAGAAAAGCAGCATCTGTTATAGCAAAGTACCCACACAAAATCAAGAGTGGAGCAGAAGCTAAGAAATTAGTAAGTTTAGTAGGCATTTTTTTTCTTTTTTGTAGAGATCATATATGTACAGATATATTTCCAAAGCTGCTTAGATTCACATAGGCAGTCCCACTGCTCCTGATTTGTTGGATTAATATTAATGCATTTCAAGCATACTTTTTGAGCTCAAGTGTTTTGATTTGAAGAAAGAGTACATTAAAAAAATTTTAAATATATGTAATTACAGTAGTCTTTCTCTACATTTTCAAATATACATGTACTCACTCTTACATTCACCTTTAGTGTGGAGACTTTAGAAGACTTTGGTGTTGCTGGTGTGTAAGTTTATGTGGTCCCAAGCTATACATCTCATTCCCAAAGAGATCTTAACCTACTGGTAAACATAGGATTAAGCCTCTTTTATATTATGGTAGCTAGCCCTGTATTCTGTGAGCACTGTCTGCTAATAGTTCCCAGTTTCCACAAGGTCACATCTCTTGGTAATTTGTAGTACTTTCACTAAGAATATCCTGAGGAATTCTACCTATTGATAATCGTAGTTTTTTCTCACTAATAGATTAAAAATTCCTCAAAGTAAAGGACTATTGTCTTATTTATTTCTTGTTTCAGATACCAAACTGACATGTACTTAGATTTGTGTTGGTCCTGAAGTTTTATTGCTTCTTTCTATTCTATTTCTGTTTCACAAAAGTCCTCTGAAATTGATGTATTCATATTTGATCATTCTTAACTTTTTTCTGAAAGCCTTGAAAGTATGAACCATAGCTACCCTCATGTTTTCACCCTTCAGAATCATAACATTATAAATCTTTTACATCTTAAGCTTGAGTGAGAAATTCCTGTATTAATCGTGCCACAATGTAACCTATAAATTTGCAAAGGTTTTAAGTCCTTTGTGCTATACACAGTTCTCAGCATCATCTGTCCCCCTAAATAGGAGGTCTAGCCAACTAAATAATAAGTACATTGGCCTTTAGTTCTCATTCTGAGTTCTGCCTTGGCATTAACCTTGGAAATCACTTTTACTTTTATTCTTTTCTCCTTTTGTTACCACTAAACTTCTTTTTTTATGTTAGTTGCAAATAGCCTGCTTTAGAGCGATTCTTTTTAAAGCTCAGACTTACTTCATCCTAAATCTAAGCTCATGGTATATCCCTAAAAGTATTATAAAGATATGTTTTGGGTTAGATTAGACTTAACATAAAAAATACCATTATTCCTTTTCACTGTTGCTTTAAGAACACACTTGCTATTTATTGCGTTGGATAGCTTCTCAATAATTCTAGAAATCGAAAGTCTCCAAAACAAATTATTTGCTTTTTTTCTCTTCAGTGTTTGCTATAGAAAAGAGCTGAGGGTCTAAATTACTTTTATGCTAAATTACAGTATGGTATTGAGTAAAATTATTTTAGCGTTATTTTCCAATTATCTTTTTATTGTTTAATACATCATCTTGCAATATTTATTTTTATTTTATTATATTTATTGCCCAGTAATTATTTATAATAAGTAAATAAATAAAAAGAAATTCCCAAACCAAAATTTTATATTCCCTTTCTTTCATTATGCAGCTTAGTCTGCCTAAACCATATTATATCACTTGTGTTCACATCATTGTATGATCTGCTGAGTATTTCCCTGCCCTTAATTCTGTGACAATCTGCCTTCCCAACAGAAAGGTAACTGTGGAGGTCTAGCCAACTAAATAATAAGTACATTGGCCTTTAGTTCTCATTCTGAGTTCTGCCTTGGCATTAACCTTGGAAATCACTTTTACTTTTATTCTTTTCTCCTATTGTTACCACTAAACTTCTTTTTTTATGTTAGTTGCAAATAGCCTGCTTTATATTAGAGCGATTCTTCTTTAAAGCTCAGACTTACTTCATCCTTAACATAAATGCTAAAAACGAAGATTTTAGCCTGATGCTAGTTGTGTAATCCTACCTACTTAGCAGGGTGAGATCTGAGGCTCTGAGTTCAAAGTTAACTTGGGCAGGAAAGTTCATGAGACTTTTTTTGTTGGTCCTGGGGTTTGAATTCAGGGCCTAGTCACTGTCCCTGAGCTTCTGTTGCTCAAGGCTAGCACAGCACCACTTCTGGGTTTTTCTGATAATGTGGTACTGAGGACTCAAACTCAGGGCTTCATGCATGCTAGGTACTCTACCACTAAGCCACATTCCCAGTCCCATTAGACTCTTATTTTCAATAAACTACTAAAAAGCTGAAAGTAGATCTTTAGCTAAAAAAAAGAAAGATTTTAGATTTATTGAAAGACAACATGTCTTTAGCAGGAGTGAGTAATAACAGGGGAAAATAAATCAAGCATCTGCATTAGTCAAGTTAAAAATAAACTTAAGATATAGCTCCTGGTGAGCAGTATTAATGTATACAACACTGGTTTTATGACAGTTATGTAGCCTACTCCATGTGGTTTCAAGTTATGGATTTTTAGACCTGCTGGACATAAAGGTAAATTTGAACAATATTTAAAATACTGAACTCTGTATCTTGAACATTCAGTTTTTCCTCAACAGCTTTCTCCTTGGAACTCTCTCTGTCTCTCTCTCTGTCTCTCTCTCTGTCTCCATCTCCGTCTCTCTCTAGATAGATAGATAGATAGATAAATAGATAGATAGATATATCTGCTATCTATGAGAGGCTTAAGCAGTTTTCTTTCTTCTTTTTTTTTTTTTTTTTTTTTGGGTACAGTTGTGGGGCCAGAACTCTGGGCCTGGGTGCTCTCCCTCAGCTCTTCAGCTCAAGGCTAGCGCTCTACCACTTGAGCCACAGCACCACTTCTGGCTTTTTTCTTTTTGCTTATGTGGTGCTGAGGAATCGAACCCAGGGCTTCATGCATGCAAGGCAAGCACTCTACCACTGAGCTACCTTCCCAGCCCCTTCTTTTTTCTTCTAATCTTCCTAAGTTCTTTGTTAATTTCTGTTTGGTAATAGAGGTTAGATACAAATTGAATAGTTTGTGGCACTTATTAAATACTACACAAATCCAGAATTTGGAAGGGTGAATGGAGGGCTAGCACTCATGCATAACATGTATAAACTAGTTAACTATGTTAATAAACTACAAAGGACCAGTAAACCCAAGTTCGTCTACTATTATTGTTAGAATAATATGAAATGTGGGCAGAGATGTGAAAAAAAGTACCCTCATTTACTAATAATGGAAATGTTTATTGCTACAGTCTTTCCAAAGAATAATTTGCAGGATGTCTAGCAGTTCCACTTTCAGAAGTTTGTTCCAAGGAAGCCAGTAGCATTATGTGCATGCAAGATTCAGTAGTTCATAACTTTTGAACACTTACATGTCAGGCACTAGGGAAGATAAATTGAAAAGATGGGTTCTCTGCTCTTGCATTCTAGAGAAGTGCTGTCCAACATGACAACCACAAGCTACATTTAGCTACTGAGTTCCTGAAATGTAGCTACTGTAACTGAAGAATTAAAAATTTATATACATTTAAATGATCACATATAGCTAGTGTATCATATTGGACTTTGCGGGTCTAGAGTACCTATGTGGTGCCTACACCAGCAGCAGTGGAAGTAGCCGCATTAGCAGCAGTACCAGCACCTGGGAACTTAAAATGTAAAATATTGGCCTCTCTTTTTACCACTGACATAACAAATCAGAAACTCAAAGGTGAGACTTGACATTCTATAGTTTAATAAGTTCCCTAGGGAACAGTGATGTATGCAAAAGCTTGAGAAGCTCTTTTAGAACAGTGCTAGTTCATGACTATAGTGAAATAATTGGAGACCACCTAAATGTTCACATGTAGGATATGTGTTAAGTAAGCTCATACAGTGAAATGCTAAGCAGCAGCCGCAAAAGATACTACTGCTATATGTAGTTACTGATATAGAAATTTGTTCATAATATCCTAAAGAAAAAGTTTACACATATGTATGTTTATATGTTTATAAGTAGAAAAGAAGTTAAATAGTGCAAGAAAAGGTGAGTGGATAACATTACAGGTGATATTTAATTAAATTAATTTATTTATTGCCAGTTCTGGGGCTTAACTCAGGGTGTGGGCACTGTCACTGAGCTTCTTTTGCTCAAGGCTAGCATTCTTGCCACTTGAGCCACAGCACCACTTCCTGTTTTTCTGTTTATGTGGTACTGAGGAATCAAACCGAGGCCTTCATGCTTGCTAGGCAAGCGCTCTACCACTAAGCCACATTCCCAGTCCTATGTTTAACTTTTAGATAAGTGAAATCATCTGATAAATGATTTTAATATTTTTTAATTTTTAAATTGTTACTATAAAGGTGATATACAGAATGGTGATAGTTACATAAGTCAGGTAAAGAGTACATTTCTTTTTGGACAATGTTACCCCTTCCCTTGCTTTTTTCCAGTTTTGATTTTAATACTTACATAACTATATTTTCAAATTTTTCTACAATTAAAATGATGATTATTTTTTGTGGTACTGGGGATTGAAACTAGAGCTATGCGTATGCTAGGGTACTGTTTGATCACTGAATTTTCTGCTCTCAAAAGTTAAATTTTTAAATAGAATTTTATTGCTATTAGGTGTTATACAGAGGGATTACTGTCAGGTAGTGAGTACATTTCTCCCAAAAATTAATTTTAAATAAACAGGAATCATTAACAATTGTTTCATTAAAAGTTCTGTTACCAAGCTTTTTAATTATTTGCCTTTGGAAAAATTAATTGCTGGGGTTCAATTTTCAGTATCTTTTGTTTCAAAATTTGTCATGTGGTATTTGTTTTTAATTTCTCAAACACTTTGACTTGGCAAGCATTATATTTATATGACTAACGTACTTTTGCTTTTCTATGTAGCCAGGAGTAGGAACAAAAATTGCGGAAAAGATTGATGAGTTTTTAGCAACTGGAAAATTGCGTAAACTGGAAAAGGTAAAACAGTAACTTATTTATTTGATTACAGTATCTTTGTTTATGGCAACTGTATGTTACTCATTCTAATAAGTCTCTGAAGGAAAAGAGATGATTGGACTTTATGGCTCTAAGCATTCCATTATTTATTTAGTTTTTGGTGGTACTGGTGGTTGATGTGCTACCATTTGAGCCACACTCCCACCGCTTTTCACCTTTGCTAGTTTTTTGTTGTTGGTTGTAGGGCTTGAACTCAGGGCCTGTGTGCTGTCTCTGAGCGCTTTTGCTCAAGGTTAGCACTCTACCACTTTGAGCCACTGCTCTACTTGTGGTTTTTGGTTAATTGGAGATAAGAGTCTCACAAGGACCTTTCTGCCTGGGCTGGCTTCAAACCATGATCCTCAGATCTCAGCATTCTGAATAGCTAGGATTATAGGCATGAGCTACCAATGCCCAGCTCTTTGCTAGGTTTTGAACACAATCTCACATGTATGCCCAGGCTGGTCTGTATTGTAATGTGTCTATATATGCTTCCCATGTAGATAGGATGACAGGTGTATGCCACTGTATGTATATCCTCCAGCTATTCATTGAGAGGGTTTCCTTTTTATGCCCAGGCTTAAACACTGCCATCCTTTTAATCTCTTAAGCCAGAAGTGCTGGCTAAAGATTTCAACTCATGGGAGGCCAGAGGATCACTGTTCCAGGCCAACTAAGACAGAAGAAATTTACAAAGCCTCAACTCAACAGAAAAAGCTGGGTATAGTTGGGTGCTTCTGTCATCCCAGCTATAGCAGGAACAAACAGGAGGAATGTGGTCCAGACCAGTCCTGGCAAAAAAAGTGAGCCAGTCTTAGAAATGACCAGAGGTAAAGGGGCTAGAGGTGTGGCTCAGTTGGTAAATCACTTGCCTGGCAATATAAAGCCCTGAGTTTGGTAAAGTGCCTTCTGAAATGTCAATATTGCTTCTAAACATTTTCACTTAATAGTTATGAGGGAGGATGCCTTTTCCTTCCGCTATTTTGGGGAGGCCAATGTGGAAGGACCAGCCTGAATAACATAGTAAGACTTTATTATGCAAAAGTTTTCCACTTATTTTATGTGACATTTAAGAGACTATTAGCAGCTGTTGTATTTGTGCTGATTAGAATAATAGGTGGAAGCATTCTTTTTTAAAAAAATTATTATCTTTAAGTAGTTGTACAAAGAAGTTCCATTCTACGAAACAGTATATGAATACGAAGTATCTGATAACATTGTCACCCATCACTCTGTGGGAGCATTTTTTTTTTTTTGGGATCAGTCTTGGGCTTGAACTCTGGGCTTGGGTGCTATCTTCAGCTCTTCAGCTCAAGGTGAGCACTCTACCACTTGAGCCACAGTGCCACTTCCAGTTTTCTAGTGGTTTATTGGAGATAAGAGTCTCATGGAGTTTCCTGCCTGGGCTGTCTTTGAACCTCGATCCTCAGATCTCAGCCTCCTGAGTAGCTAGGATTACAGGTGTGAGCCACTGGTGCCTGGCTTGTGGAAGCATTCTTAATGGCATTAGACATGTTTTAAAATTCAGTCATGCCTAAACACATATTACAATGTACTATATGGTTGGGTTTTTTTGTTTTTGTTTTTGTCGGTCATGGGACTTGAACTTGGCCTGAGCACTGTCTTTCAGCTCTTCATTTCGAGGCTATTGCTCTACCACTTGAGCCACAGTGCCACTTCCAGTTTTCTAATGGTTTATTGGAGATAGGAGTCTCATGAACTTTCTTGCTTGGGCTGGCTTTGAACCATGATCCTTAGATCTCAGACCCCTGAGTAGGTAGGAGCCACCAGTGCCCAGCACTATATGAATTTTTATGAAATTTGTTATACATAATACAACACATCCTTGAAATATATTGCATTCTTTTAAACATTCACACACACACACAAGAAAATATTAGTATCTATGAGATAGTTGATTCACTTTTACAGTTGGTTCATTTACAGTACCATTCAGGAAAGAGATGATAAACTTTTAAATATTATTACCATCAGATGCCAGTGGCTCATGCCTGTAATCCTGGTTACTTAAGAGGCTTGGATCTGAGGATTCAGTTTGAAGCCAGTCCTGGCAGCAAAGATTGTGAGACTGTTATCTCCAATTAACCACCAAAAAGCTGGAAGTAGAGCTGTGGCTTATGTGGTAGGACGTTAGTCTTGAGCAAGAAAGCTCAGAAATAATTCCAGGCTCTTAAGTTCAAGGACTTGCAAACCCCCCCCCCCTCCAAAAAAAAAAAAAAGAAAGAAAAGAAAAGAAAAGAAAAACCAGGTGCTGTGGCTTATGCTTGTAATCCTAGTTCCTTAGGAAGCTGAGACCTGAGTATTGCAATTTGAAGCCAGCCTGGGCAGAAAAGTCTGAGAGACTCATATCTCCAATAAACTGTGCAGAAAAAGCCAGAAGTGGTGCTGTGGTTCAAGTGGTAGAGTGCTAGCTTTGAGCAAAAGAGGCTCAGTGACAATATCTAGGTCCTGAGTTCAAGCCCCAGGACTGGGGGGAGGAGAGAGAGAGACAGAGACAGAGAGCAAGACAGAGAGCGAGACAGAGAGAAAGAGAGGGAGAGAGACAGAGAGATCATCAGAATTTCTAAGCTTAAACTCTCCCAAGCATTTTTTTGGAACCTTAAAGATAATTATATCCATTTTTTTTAAGTGTTGAATGTCAAGTGTTCTTATCACAAAAGTAGCTGCATAACTGACTAGATTTAACCATTACTTAATGTATATACTCTTCAGAACATGAGGCATATAATTTATCAGTTCAAAGAAACAAAAATTGTATGTGTGGAGACTAGGAATTAAACTCAGAGCCTCACATATGCTCTGCACCTAAACCTGATTTTCCAGCCCTTACTCCATTAAGTTTTTTTTTTTTTAAGTCATGGGCTTGAACTTGGGGCCTAGGCATTGTCCCTGAGCTCTTGTGTTTAAGGTTAGCACTCTACCACTTTGAGCCACAACACTACTTCCAGTTTTCTGGTGATTAATTGGAGAAAAGAATCTCATGGACTTTCCTGCCCAGGCTAGCTTTGAACCACAATCCTCAGATTCTCAGCTTCCTGAGTATTTAGGGTTACTGATGTGAGCTACCAGTGCCTGGCTTCCCTCAAAACTTTTTTGAATTGATTATCAGTGCCTATCTATACTCCTAGACACCTAGGAGGTAAGATTAGAGGATCTTCATTTAAAAAGTCGGCTCTCATCTGGGCCCTGGTGGCTCACGCCTGTAATCCTAGCTACTCAGGAGGCTGAGATCTGAGGATCATGGTTCAAAGCCAGCTCGGGCAGGAAAGACTGTGAGACTCCTATCTCCAATAAACCACCAGAAAACCAGAAGTGGCGCTGTAGCTCAAGTGGGTAGAGCACTTGCCTTGAGCTGAAGAGCTGAGGGACAGCGCCCAGGCCCAGAGTTCAAGCCCCACGACTGACCAAAAAAAAAAAAAAATAAATAAATAAAATAAAAAGTCGGCTCGCCCAGAGAAGTCTGCAAGACTTGTCTAGCAAAAAGCAGACTAGAGGCATGGTTCAAGTGATAAGATGCAAGCCATGATCAAGAAAGACAAGCAAGAGCTGGAGGCCCTGAGTTCAAGCTCTGGTACTGGCAAGAATACATTTGTTTTAAAGAATAAATTAGATAAATAATAAATCATCTTTAGCTTCTACTCGTCACTTAGCACTTAGGTTATATGTGAATCCTACTTATGAGTTATCCAGGCAAATGCAAATGGTTGTCCCACTTTTCTTAGCATATTGGTATATTTCTGATAAGATCACTGAAGTCTGCAGGGGTTTCCTTAATCATTGTTAATCTTTTTTTTTTTTTTTCTTAAAGATTCGGCAGGATGATACAAGTTCATCCATCAATTTCCTGACTCGAGTTAGTGGCATTGGGTAAGAACTATTTCTTAAGCAGACATGGTTTTATTTTTCATGTCAGCCAAAACCTGTACTTCTCTACCTTTATGATTTTTTTTTTTTTTGGTTGGTCATGGGACTTGAACTCTGGTCTTGGGCGCTGTCCCTGTGCTCTTCAGCTCAAGGCAAGCACTCTACTGTCTTTCAGCTCTTCAGTTCAAGGCTAGTGCTCTACCACTTGAGCCATAGCGCCACTTCTGGTTTTCTAGTGGTTTATTAGGTTTATTAGAGATAAGAGTCTCATGGGGTGGGGGGGGACCGGGAAGGTGGATCAGTGGTAAAGCTTTGCATGCCTGAGGCCCTGGGTTCGATTCCTCAGCACCACATAAGCAAAAAGCCAGAAGTGGCGCTGTGATTCAAGTGGTAGAGTGCTAGCCTTGAGCTGAAGTGCTGAGGGACAGCACCCAGGCCCAGAGTTCAGGCCCCACGACCGGACCCCCCCAAAAAAAGAGTCTCATGGACTTTCCTGCCCAGGCTGGCTTTGAACTGTGATCCTCAGATCTCAGCCTCCTGAGTAGCTAGGATTATAGGCGTGAGCCACCGGCACCCAGCTTCCTTTATGATTTTTGTTTTTGTTTTTGTTTTTAGGGGGGGTCCACTTGTGGGGCCTGAACTCTGGGCCTGGACGCTGTCCCTCAGCTCTTCAGCTCAAGGCTAGCGCTCTACCACTTGAGCCACAGCGCCACTTCCGGCTTTTTTCTTTTTGCTTATGTAGTGCTGAGGAATCAAACCCAGGGCCTCAGGCATGCAAGGCAAGCGCTCTACCACTGAGCCACCTTTCCAGCCCTCCTTTATGATTTTTGACCATAGGATTCACCCATTTTTAGCTTATGAGTCTAAAAGACTGATTCTTCAGATGCTGTGACTATTTGTTATGTTTTTGTTTTTTTTTTTTTTTGGATCCGGTCGTGGGGCCTGAACTCTGGGCCTGGGTGCTGTCCCTCAGCTCTTCAGCTCAAGGCTAGCGCTCTACCACTTGAGCCACAGCGCCACTTCTGGCTTTTTTCTTTTTGCTTATGTGGTGCTGAGGAATCGAACCCAGGGCCTCGAGCATGCAAGGCAAGCGCTCTACCACTGAGCCACCTTCCCAGCCCCATATTTGTTATGTTTTCAAGGCTTTCCAGGGAAGAAAATTATGAAACTTGAATATAGATTGTGAGTAGCTCTAGGAGAGCCTGAACTGACTCAGTATTGGCTTCTTTTTTTTATTTTTATTTTTTGCCAGTTCTGGGGCTTGAACTAAGGGCCTAATCACTGTCCCTGTGCCTCTTTGGGCTCAAAGCTATTGTTCTACCACTTGAGCCACAGTGACACTTCTGGCTTTTTCTAAGTAGTTCATTGGAGGTAAGAGTCTCACAGGCTTTTCTGTCCAGGCTGGCTTGAAATCATGATCTTCAGGTCTCAGCCTCCTAAGTATCTAGTATTGTAGGCATGAACTGGTGCCCGACTTACTTTATTTCTAAAAAATATTTTAATGATTATTTTTAGGTAGTTTTGCAAAGGAGATGCCATTTAACAAAGCAGTTTATGGATACAATATATCTTGATCAATGTCATCCCTTTCAACATTCTCACCTATCCCTCCCCTACACACTCCTTCCCCCACTCTTTATTAATTTTATAGGATATACATTGGATTCTTGTTTGCATTTACCCCCTCTTCTCTTCATCTATCTACCCCTTTCTCTTTGACACTACCCTGGCCCTTTCTAGTACCCACTTCCTGGTGTTTTATTTTGCTGAACTTTGATTTTGGCTTTCTATTTGAGATCTCCCTTGAATCTACCATATTTCAGTTAATGAATTTGTACACCTGCATACCAAGTGTATTTACTTATTATTATTATTATTATTTGGTCAGTCATGGGGCTTAAACTCTGGGCCTGGGCACTGTCCCTCAGCTCTTCAGCTCAAGGTGAGCGCTCCACCGCTTGAGCTACAGTACTACTTCTGGCTTTCTAGTGGTTTATTGGAGATAATAGTCTCACGGACTTTCCTGCCCAGGCTGGCCTTGAACCTCGACCTTCAGATCTCAGCCTCCTGAGTAGCTAGGATTATAGGTGTGAGCCACCTTTGCCCGGCCACTTATGAGTTTTTAAGCTAAATGTAGATTCCACATATAAGGGAAAGCATGGGTCCTTTGTCTTTGTGGGCCTGACTTCAAATAATTTTTTTCCAAGTCTTTCCATTTATTTAAAAATGGCATATCATTCTTTCTAATGGGTGAGTAAAATTCCATTATGTGTGTGTATATGTATATCTATGTGTATGTGTATGTGTATCACATTTTCTTCATCTATTTAAAGGCATTTTGGCTGATTCCATACCTTGGCTATAGTGAATAATGCTTCAATAAACATGGTTGTGCTGATGCCTTCACTTTTTCCTGGTTTATAATCTTTTGGGTAAATGCCCAGGAGTGGAATTACTGGATCATAGGGTAGTTTAATTTTTTGAGAAACTGCTAAACTGCTTTCCAGAATGGTTGAACAAGTTTACATTCCCACCAACAGTGTATTAGGGTTCCTTTTTGGCCTTATTCTCACTAGTATCTATTATTGATACTATCTTGATAATACCCATTCTAATTGGGTTGTTTTGACTTGCATTTCCTTGGCCTAGAGATGTTGAGCATTTCTTTATATGTCTATTGGCCATTTTCAATACTAACTTTTTCCTTGAACATTGCCTTGCTAACATCACCCAGATTCTTTATCATACTATAATATAATATCACAATATTTTAAATGTCCTAAAGCATTGTGTCTCAGATTATTGCCTTGTGAATGTCTGTGTGTATTTCATTCAATTCTTTCATCCTATTGCTACTCCCAGCTGGATTTGTTACTTTAGAAAGTCACTTTAACTTCTTAGATTTCAGTGTCCTTCCATAAAAAAAATGGGAGGGAAATTAGGTTAATCTGGTTCCTTCTTCCCCTTCCATTCTATGAGGCCCTTTTTGATGTCTTGATTTATTTATATAAAGGTGATCATTTACAAATCTAAATCACATTTATTGCTTTGCTCTAGTAGCTTCATTGCACTTAGCAGAACCCTTTAGCAAAACCCTTACCACTTTGGCTTAAAAATCATCCTAGAATATGGTACCTATGTACTGCTTGGTGACCTCATACCTTCATTCCAGACACAAATTTTTCTGTCTTGTTTTGAATGAGTAAAGCTCATGTTAGTTTGAGGTCTTTTCAGTAATCATTTTCTTTGCTCAAATGCTTCTACTTTGGTCACCACAGATAACTGGCTCTTTGTTATTCAAATCTCAGCGGCCTTTGCCTACTAACTACTGTAAAGTAAGACCTCGCTATTCTGACATGTTATATTCTTTGTTCATCTGCCTCATATTTTTCTTGTTTTTATGTGTCTCTTTATTGTTTCTCTCTTCCTCACTGGAATCAAGTGAGCAAGGATAAGAGCTTTTTTTTTTATCATGGTCTATAACATTTATGAGTTCTATGAGCTTTGCAATACAGTTATTTCTTCCACATTGGGTACATTGTACATTTCATTTGTTTTGCATAGCATCAACTGTTCCCTCTTTCCCACTTGTCCCCTCCCTCCCATTGCTGCCATTGAGTTGCTTAGTTCATTTTGATCCATGTCCAGTGGCCCTGATGGGTTCCGCTGTTGTATGATTTTCCCTGATTCCCTCTAGTTCTGTGTTGTCCTCCTGGTTTCCCTCTGGTGTGCACATATATACCATGAGGTTATTTAGTAGTGATTTGACCAGATAGGTGGCAGTCCTTTGTTTCTTAAGTCTTGTTAATTTTGTCGTATCACCTTACATTTGGATTTAACATCCACTTATCAGGGAGACCATGTGCCGTTTGTCCCTTTGCTCTTGGCTTACCTCACTCAACATGATTTCTTCTAGCTCCATCCATTTCCCTGCAAATGTCATTATTTTGTCCTTTCTAATGGCTGCATAATATTCCATTGTGTATAGATACCACAATTTTTGGATCCATTCATCTGTGGTGGGACATCTGGGTTGTTTCCATATCCTAGCTATTGTGAACAGTGCTGCAGTAAACATGGAGGAGATGCATGTGTCCTTGTATACAGGTTCCTGTTGTTCAGGATAGATACCTAGAAGTGGTATGACTGGGTCTTGAGGGAGGTCAATATTTAGCTTTCTGAGGACCCTCCAGACTACTTTCCAAGTGGTTATATAAGTGTACATTCCCACCAAGATAAGGGCTTTTAATTGTCTTGTTTATGCTGCTTTTTTTTTTTTTTTTACAGAGTGTGTAGCAAATTATTAGGACCTCATTAAACTTAGTTGAATGAACAGTTTTCAAATGCCCTCATGTCTGTGTGTTGACTTTATGACAGCTGCTTAGATGTCTTATGTCCATGTTCATGGTGGTATTGAATTCAGATTGAAGCTTCAGAAAATCTAACTTTGGATAAAATTGAACATTACCAAGTAACCATGAAACATTTAGCAGGTCTTGTTTATTTAGTGTAGTAGAAAGTGTTTAACAATAAAGAACACAGTTGGTTATTGTTACCAGGATTGGGTTTTGCCTGATTTGAGATAATGTATTTCTTTTTTATAGTCCATCTGCTGCAAGGAAGTTTGTAGATGAAGGAATTAAAACATTAGAAGGTAAGTAAAACCATAGATCACTAATTCTAGATTAAATATAGTCCTCTAATGAACTGAAACTTGAAAAACCTATTCTCAACTGTAAATATAAGTAAGATTATCTTTTAAACTCTGTAGTAGAAAGTAGATATAGGGTAAACTGTACTTTCCATCTTAAACATTTTTAAGTTTGTGAACAAGAAAATTAAGAAGCATAAGACATGACTTTTTGGTTTAAAAACAATGAAATACTTATAGATTTTTTGCTTCTTCCTCTCCTCCTTCATCTCTTTCTCTTCTGATCTTTTTTTTTTCTTTTTCTTGTACCAGTACTGACTTTTGAACTTCAGGGCTTTTTGCTCTCATTCAGCTTGCTTGCTCACAGCTAACACTGTACTACTTGTCTCACGACTCCTGTGTGGCATTTTGCTGGTTAGTTGGAGATGGGGACTTGTGGACTTTTTCTGCCTGGAATGACTTCAAACAAGATCCTCCAGTATCAGCCTCCCAAGTAGCTAGGATTACAGGCGTGAGCCACTGGTTCTTGGCTGTTAATAAAATTTTAGATAACATAGTCTTTTTCATCAAACTAAATCTAAATTAAGTTTATTGAGAAAGATTCTGTTAGAGATTTGCAATGTTTATTGAAATAATTATTGCTTGGAGAAAGTAAAAAAATAGATTATGTCAAGCAATTTTAGAAACATTTTTCTTAAACTTGATAAAGCAATCCTTTAATCCAGTTTATTTTCCAAGCATGTATGCTATGCATATGGATTTATTACATTATATCTGTAGCAATTTCTCTGCCATTCCATGGCATATCATTTTGTATTTGTATTTGAGGATTCAACCATTTATAAGCTCATTTTGTATTTGTATTTGTGGATTCAACCATTTATAAGCAGTGGTTAAATTTTGGAGAAGGACCTGGTTTGAGTCCCACCTGTACCATGCAATTAGAATAGGTAAGTTTGGTGCTTCAGTTTCTTAGCTACAAAATGTATGCCTTATACAAATTATACAATAAAGCATGTAAAGAAATTGGAGTACTGGATGTGTAGAAAATACTAAAAATGGTAACTGAGCTGGGTACAGTGGCTCATGCTTGAAATTCTAGTTTCTCAGGAGTCTGAGAGCTAAGAATTTAGGTTCGGAGCTAGTCCATGCAGATAAAACTGAGTGACTCTATCTTCAGTTAACCAGCAAAAAGTGGAGGTGTGACTCAAATGATAGAGCACCAGCTGTGAGGTAAGAAAAAGCTGAAGGAGAATGAGGGCCTGAGTTCAAGTCCCAGTACCAGCACAAACTTAAGTAAGTAAAATAGTAACTGACTCAAGATGTCAAGAATTTGTGGATTACTGTAAAAAATACTGTTGTATTTCTTGGTAATGTCAAGAATTTGTTCTGGCGTTTATATTGTTTTGTAATTCAAGTATATAACTGAATGTCTACATAACAAACTCAACGTTTTCATTTTCAGACATATAGTGCTTTCTGTGGGAGTTATTGAATGCTTTTATGTCACAGAGATTATTATTTTTAAAATTAAAAATTAAATTAAAAATTAAAATTTTATGTTTTTGAGTATACTTATGATCTTCTGAATTGCTTTTGAAGCATATTGCTGTTTCTTTTTTATTTTTTTATTGTAAAAATAGTGTACAGAGGGGTTACAGTTACATGAGTAAGGTAATGAGTACATTTCCTATTGAACGTTGTTGCTGTTTCTTTAACAAGGCTTACACCTATATTCATACCTGAAAGAATGCTTAATGGAACTAAGTAAATTTTTTTTGTGTGTCAGTTGTGGGGCTTGAACTCTGGGCTTGGGCACTGTCCCTCAGCTCTTCAGCTCAAGGCGAGCGCTCTACCACTTGAGCCACAGGAGCATTTCTGGTTTTCTGGTGGTTTATTGGAGATAAGATTTCATGGAGTTTCCTGCCCTGGCTGACTTTGAACTGCTATCCTAAGATCTCAGCCTCCTAAGAAGCTAGGATTACAGGTGTGAGCTACTGGCACCTGGCAACAATGTGTTTTAAGATTAAAAGTTACTTAGGCTGGGCATCCATGGCTCACCCCTTGGTTGTCTTAAGGTTGCTTTAGCATTAGAGAATAAAATTTGGTATGATTCCTGGTATGTTGTAGATCATTTTTTATGTAATTCTACATGAGTTTGGATTTATTACACAAAAATGATCAAGATATTAGCCAGATGCAATCACTCAAGCCTGTAATCCTAGCACTTGAGAGGTGAAGACAGGGTTATAGTGGTTTTAAGCCAGTTTGGCAAAAAGAAGTTTATAAGTCCTCATCTCAACCAATGACTAGGAATAATGAGACATGCCCGTTATCCCAGCTGTCATTTCTAGTGATAAGGGAAAACACAGGTATAAGGATAACAGTTTAAGACTGCCTGGGAATAAAATGAGATACTTCCTAGAAAATAACAAATGCACAAAGGGATTAGGGGCATAGCTCAAGTGGTGGAGTGACTGACTCCCTACCATTGCAAGGTCCAGAGTTCAGTCCCTAGTACTGAAAAAAAATTCATGAAATCAGTTGTTAGGTTTACAACATTAATTTGAAGAATTGCTTTATCTATCTCATATTATCTATAGTTTTTTTCCTTCATTGTGTTGTCAAAATAAAATTTTCTCTAAAGTAGTTCTTTGGGAAAAGGACCATTGAGTTTAATATTAGTTTCCCAGAAATTATTTAAATTAACACTTTTAACTTTATCTTTCAGATCTCAGGAGAAATGAAGATAAATTGAACCATCACCAACGAATTGGGTTGAAGTAAGATGAAAAAAATTTGTCTTGATACTTGAGATATAACAATAAAACTGGGGACTGGGAAGGTGGCTCAGTGGTAGAGCACATGCCTTGCATGCATGAGGCCCTGGGTTCAATTCCTCAGCACCACATAAGCAAAAAAGAAAAAAGCCAGAAGTGGCGCTGTGGCTCAAGTGGTAGAGCACTAGCCTTGAGCTGAAGAGGTGAGGGACAGCGCCCAGGCCCAGAGTTCAGGCCCCACGACCGGACCCAAAAACAAAAACAATAAAACTGTTACATTCTTTCATATTCCTTAATAATTTTTTAAATATAGCTAAAACAACCAGTTTTGAATTTAGAAATGCTAATATTCATTTTAGGTTTCTATAGAGTTTATACTAGTGCTCACACATTTTTAAAATTACTTTCTAGTTTGTTTACTTGTTTTGAGAATTTCCTTTTGTAACCCTGACTTTATCAAAGAAGTTCTCATAAAAAAAACCATCAAATCACCAGGTGCTGGTAGCTCATGCCTGTATCCTAGCTACTCAGGAGGCTGAGATCTTAGGATCGGGGTTCAAAGCCAGCCTGGGCAGGAAAGTCCGTGAGACTCTTGTCTCCAATAAACCACTAGAAAACCGGAAGTGGTGCTGTGACTCAAGTGGTAGAGCACTTGCTTTCAGCTGAAGAGCTGAGGGACAGTGCCCAGGCCCAGAGTTCAAGCCCCATGACCAACAACAACAACAAAAAAAGCATCAGGAGTTCTGGTGGGTATTTTTAATGCTACATAGTTCGAAGCATTGAGCTAGGATTAGCATAGCTGGGTTTTTGGTATTGTTTTGTGGGTTTTTTTCTTTTTTCTTTTTTTGGTTTTTGAGACAGGGTTTGTCATGAAGTAACACAGACCAGCCTTAAACTTCAGTCCTTTTGCTTTAGCCTCCTGAGTATTGGGACTGTGGGTGTGTGACCATGCCTGGCTCAGTGTAACCTTTAAGAAATTTATAGTCTATCTGAGAAGAACATGCAAGATATAAACATAAGATTTTGTTTTTTGAGGTACTGGGAATTGAACTAAGGGCCTACCTACCACTTGAGCCGTACTCCCAGCTAACACATAAGTTTGTATGAACATGAAAATGTGCATTTTTTATAAAAAGAGAGAAATCCTAAACACCTAAATAAAAGTATAGGAATAATTACTAGGTATGTTCCTATGTGTCAATAAATTTTCTGTGTCAGATAAACCCTATATGTATCTCCTTAATTATTCTATAAGCTTATGTCTTTAAGTGTACTTTTTGCTGCCTTATGAAAATACTTTATGCGTATGCTGCCAGTAAGAGCCAGCAAGACATTTAGGATGGTGTGCTCTCACTTTTCTTGCATTTTAGTAAATAGAGATCTCCTGAAGAGGCTGAGGATTATGAAAATTGGTCTTTGAACAGGTGCATTACTCTTAGAAATGTATGTAGACATACTATGATACTATGATAATAATACTATGATAATAATAGTCTTATTGACATGATGCTTATACCATATATGTACCTATGTAAAGCACACAACTCAGAATTTTAGTATATTCACAGAGTTGTAGAACTAGAATTATTATTATAGTCTGTTTTAGAACACTTTCTTGTTTCCTCCAAAAAAACCCACATACTCATTTACAGTCATTGCCCATTTATCTTTGACATATTTCCCCAGCTCTGCTCAGCCTTAGGCAGCCACTAATCTTTCTGTCTGTGCTATTTGTCTATTGTACACATTGCATATAAATGAAAATTGTACAATATGTAGTCATTCGTACCTGGCTTCTTTCATTTAGCATATTATTGCTTAGGTTCAGCTATACTCTGGAATAAATTTTTAAAATACTTTTGTAGGAGTTTTGATTTTTTAAATTAATTGTTTTTGCGGGGGGGGGGGGGGGCTCTGGTCGTGGGGCCTGAACCCTGGGCCTGGGTGCTGTCCCTCAGCTCTTCAGCTCAAGGCTAGTGCTCTACCACTTGAGCCACAGTGCCACTTCTGGCTTTTTTTCTTTTTCTTTATATGGTACTGGGGAATCAAACCCAGGACCTCATGCATTCAAGGCAAGCACTCTACCACTGAGCCACCTTCCCAGCCCCTAAATTAAAATTTTAAACTGATACATAAATGCAAAAATTCGTTATTGAATACAGTGTGATATTTTGATGCATGTATATTGCATAATATTTAAATCAGGGTAAACATTGCCTATGTCCTCATATTTATAATAATTCTTTAGTAGTGAAAACATTCAAAATCCTTCTAGCCTTTTGAAAAATATACAGTACAGGGGGCTGGGAAGGTGGCTCAGTGGTAGAGCGCTTGCCTTGCATGCTCGAGGCCCTGGGTTCGATTCCTCAGCACCACATAAGCAAAAAAGAAAAAAGCCAGAAGTGGTGCTGTGGCTCAAGTGGTAGAGTGCTAGCCTTGAGCTGAAGAGCTGAGGGATAGAACCCAGGCCCAGAGTTCAATCCCCATGACTGGACCCCCTCCCCCCACAAAAAAAAGAAAAATATACAGTACATTATAGTTACCTTGTTTTAACTGGAATCTATTACTTATATTTAGGCAGTTTTGAGTGCAGTAAATGGATACCCCTTAACTTAGCAATAGATTGAAGTCTACTTTTAAAACATGCACCAACTTGTATTTATTTATTCTTGTTACTTGAATATTAAACATATTTACAGATGAATTTAGGTGTAGTCCCTGGAATCTTCCAAAGGTTGAACTTCAGGATTTTGATCTAGTTCAGGAACTGAACTAGATCTTATCATATGCCCCAGTTTTGCTCTGTTGTATGCTCAATGAATTTGTCTTTTTTCTTTTTCTGGTACTGTGGATCAAACCCAGGACATTATGTGCTTTGCCATTGGGCTACATCCCAGTCTGAATGTTTTTGTTGTTGTTGGTGGTGGTCGTGGGGCTTGAATTCAGCCTGGGCACTGTCCTTTAGCTATTTAGCTCAAGTCAAATGCTCCACCACTTGGGCCACAGCGCTTCTTCGGGTTTTCTGGTGGTTTATTGTAGGTAAGAGTTTCACGGACTTTCCTGCCCAGGCTGGCTTTGAACTGCGATCCTCATATCTCAGCCTCTTGAGTAGCTAGGGTTACAGGCATGAGTCACTGGCGCCCGGCTTGTCTTTTTTTTGATTGTGATGAGGATCAAGCCCAGGCCCTTGGGCATGCTAGGCAAGTGCTCTACCACGGAGCGCTTGCATTTTAGTTTAAATTTGTGAATAGAACTGGAACTGTATAGTAAACAATTTAGTTCTGAAAGAATTTTAAATTGTATAAAATTCATTTCTACTTATTCTATCTAGATATTTTGAGGACTTTGAAAAAAGAATCCCTCGCGAAGAGATGTTACAAATGCAAGTAAGATGCTGAATTGTGTTCTTTTATTAGTATGGAGAGAGTCACTTGATAGAAAGCCATTTTTGGAATACTGACTTAATTTTTCTTCTATTAGGATATTGTACTAAATGAAGTTAAAAAAGTGGATTCTGAATACATTGCTACAGTCTGTGGCAGTTTCAGAAGAGGTAACATACTTCCTGATCTTGGGTTACTCATACCTTGATGTTAAAGTTGCTTAGTATGTAATAAGAACTTGGATTAAAAGACATAATTTTCCAAGTACTAGTGGCTTGTGCCTGTAATCCTAGCTACTCAGGAGGTTGAGATCTGAGACTTGCTGTTCCAAGCCAACCTAGGCAGCAAAGTCCTGAGTCTTCTCTCCAATTAATCACTAAAAACCCGAAAGTGATAGAGTGCCAGCCTTGAGTGGAAAAGCTAAGGGACATGCCTTTAATCCTAATCAGGAAGTTGACATCTGAGGATCATGGTTCAAATCAACCTGGACAGGAAAGCCCATGAGACTCTAATTACCAAAAAGCTGGAAATGGAGGTGTAGTTCAAATGGTAGAGTGCTAGCCTTGAGTATAAAAGTTCAGGAACAGTGCCCCCATCAAGTTCCAGGACTAGTGGGCATATGCATGTCAGCATGCAAACACACATGTGCTTGCGTGCGTGCACGCACACACACACACACACACACACACACACACACACACGTGTGCACGCGCTAAGGGACAATGCCCAGGGCCCTGACTTTAAGCCTTAGTACTAGAACCCCCTCAAAAAAAGTGTGATTTGTGTGTTATTTCATGTAATTACTAAGATCTATATTAGCAGAGTTTATTTGTTCATAGTTTGGAATATATACATGTGTTTACAAATGTATAGATTTAGAGGAAAATTATACTATTATTAAATGCTAATAATGGTTGTAAATGTTTGTAAAACCATGCATCGTTTTGTTCAGTTTTAATTTTGTTTTTGTTTTTGTTTTCTGTAATGGCTGTAAGAACAGTGTCTCAGAGGACCAGTTCAAAGATAATTTTGCAATTGCCAGATTTTCCAGATCTTTGTTTGCTATGTGATTGCAGACAAAGTGAGAGCCACATGATTCTGATTTCTTAACTAGCTTACAATTTTGCAGGGCTAATATAAGTTTAAAATATTAACTTTCAGAGTTGGAATAGACAATATTTGGGAGGGGGCGGTCAGTCTTAGAGCTTGACCTCAGGATCTGGGCATTGTCCCTGAGCTTGTTTTTCTCAAGGCTAGCACGCTACCACTTGAATCACAATGTCACTTCCAGCTTTTTCTGTTTATGTGGTACTGAGGAATTAAACCCAGGGTTTCATGCATGATAGGCAAGCACTCTGCCACTATGCCACATTCCCAGGCCATGGAATAGACAAATTTTACTTAAAACATGTTAGAAAAGATACCTGGGCCAAATCTATGGCCTTTGGTAGAATTTTGTCTGGAAATTGCCAGGCTATTAGAAAAACTCTAGATAGCTTCTATAAGAATGTAGAATTGGGAAGAAAAATGGATTACATTCATAATTGCTGATAAATAACAAGAATTTGGGGTCAAAAGACCCCAAATCTACTTTACTACTATATGATTTTAGGTAAGTCTGTCTTGATTGATCCTAGTGTCCATATTTGAAAAATGAGAGGATTGAAGATAATCAGTTATTCAAGGATGTCTTCGTTAGAAACATTTAGAAAGTATAAAAAACATCTACACATTATTATGCCCTGCCACAATCTAGAGTGTGTGTGTGTGTGTGTGTGTGTGTGTGTGTGTGTGTGTGTGTGTGTGTGTGTGTGTGTGTGTGTACTTTTTTTTTGTTGGTCATGGGGCCTGAACTCTGGCCCTGGGCACTGTCCCTCAGCTCTTCAGCTCAAGGCTGGTGCTTTACCTCTTGAGACACAGTGCCACTTTTGGCTTTTTCTGCTTATGTGGTGCTGAGGAATCGAACCCAGGGCCTCATGCATGCAAGGCAAGTACTTTACCACTGAGCCACCTTCTCAGCGCCAGATTCTATATTTTCAAAATGAAGATTTTGGTGCACAACAGGCTAAGTGAATGCTTTTTTGAATATGACGATCTTCCTAGACTTGAGTATTTCTATTTTATTTTTACTTTTAATTGCTGAGTATGTTATATGGATTTATGCCTTAATATAGAGTATACTTTGAAGTCTTCTGCCTTGTTTCTGCTCATTCTAACCTATTGTCTCATTAATACCTATTCCATTGTGAATTCTTTCAGTGCTTCTACATGAGAATAATAACTAAATACAACTTTTTTTTTTTTTTTTTGCCAATCCTGGAGCCTGAACTACTGTGCTCAAGGCTAGTGTTCTACTACTTGAGTCACAGCACCACTTCTGGCTTTTTCTGTTTATGTGGTACTGAGGAATCAAACCCAGGGCTTCATGCATGGTAGGCAAGTACTCTGTCACTAAGCCACATTCCCAGCCCGTCATTATTCTTTTGTTTTTGGTCAGACTTGGGGCTTGAACTCTGGGCTTGAGCGCTATCCCTGTACTCTTCAGCTCAAGGCGAGCGCTCTACCTACCGCTGGAGCCAGAGCACCACTTCCCGTTTTCTAGTGGTTATTTGGAGATAACAGTCTCATGGACTTTTCTGCCCCGGCTGTCTTGGAACCATGATCCTCAGATCTCAGCTTCCTCAGTAGCTAGGATTACAGGTGTGACCACTGGCGCCGGCCTCATTATTCTTTTCATCGCTGTGTAATATTTGATTTTAAGTTTATCATACTTTATCCAATCTTACTACTAAGAGACCTCTGGATTTTTTCTGTTTGTTTTCATTCTTTAGGTTTTATTTTCCTAATATAGCTTGTTTTGTCTTTTGCAAAAGGAATAAAATATTTTTGATGGTAGATGTGTGGTAAATGACAATTTTTAGGAGAAAGAAATAAAAAGAGAATAGACTTTCATGTTAAATTAGTTTCTATAAATGTCCTCTGATCAGAACACATTTCATTTTTCTGATTAATTGAAAATGCAATCTCTAGGATTTTCTGCCCAGGCTGGCTTCACATCTCAATCCTCTAGGTCTCAGCATTCAGAGTAGCTAGGATTATAGGCTTGAGGTACTGGCACTTGGTTTCATTGTGTCTTCCATATATTTAAATATAGTTGCCCTTCCATTTACCTATGATTTGGATTTCTGAGGTTGCAGTTAATCAAGAGCAATGAGTTTGAAAATATTAAATGGAAAATTCCAGAAATAGATTATGTATATTTATTTAATGTATGCATGTATATATTTGTTTTGGTGGCTCTGGCATTTGAACTTGGGAGTCTCATGCTTGGTAGGTAAGCGTTGTACTGCTGAGCTTAATTTGTGTTTTTAAATTGTATACTGCTTTGAGTAATGTGATGAAATCTTCGGGTCCCTATCCTTGACAGGAGTCATCTTTTTGTCTAGTATATTCATGCTGAATGTGTTATCCATCCACTAGTCATTTCATAGCCATCTCAGCTATTAGATGTCAGCTTGACTGTTAAGTAATCATAGTGCTTGTGCTCACATAGCCCCTATTTTATTTAATTGTGTCCCTATAGCTTGAGAGCAGTGATACTGGCAATTGATATACACCAAAGAAAAGTCACAAAGTGCTTCCTTTATATGAAAAGGAATAGTTCTTGCCTTCATAAAATTTAAGTGAAGACAAAACTTCATGGTATATAGCTCATACAGCTGTATATAACTTGTCTGAATTTTATGGTTGTAAAGATCAAACTGAAACCTAAGTCATTATAAAATGTTGTGTTCTTACCTGTGATCATGTAATTTTTACTAATATTTACTAAATGTGCTCAGTCATAAGACTTGAAATAAGACTTCTGGTTAACTTTTACAAAGTTAGAATTTATATTTAAATATATATATATGTATATATATATGTGTGTGCGCATGTATATATATTCCTGTAGCTGTGTTTGAATATTCTTTTTACTGTTGAATAAGTTGGTACATTTTAACATTAGGCATATTTTATACTAATGCAACATCTTGTATGCAATATATATATATAAATAGATATATCTAATGTCAATTACTATTGTTATCCCAGATTCTGCTGTCTGTATCAATATACCTGAATAGTTGGACAGAAAATTGAAATCTTTTAAGTAATTCTGAATATGAAGCACAGTGACGTAGAAAGTTAGCCTATAAGAAGTAAGGCTCTTCTATGTGTGTCTTCAGTTTAGTTCTCTGTTCATCTTAATTGGTAGATCTACATTGAGAAGGCCTGTATATGTTTTTTGTTGTCATAGGTGCAGAGTCTAGTGGTGACATGGATGTTCTTCTCACCCACCCAAACTTCACCTCGGAGTCTGCTAAACAGGTACCTCTATCTTGCACTATGGCCATTCTTACACAGCATGAAATAGCATTTTCTAAATGCTATTAAAAAAAAATTTTGTTTTGTTTCAGTGCTGGGGATGTTACTCAGGGCCTTGCGCCTGTTAGGCAAGTGTCCTGTACCACTGAGCTGCATTCCTAGCCCCTAAGTTTCGTTTTAATCTTTCTGAGTTTTTTTATCTAAAGTATTTTATGCTGTTTCAATTCTGTTGGAAGCAGTATTTGTGGGAAGAGATACACATTTTTTTTTCTTGTAGGATTGTTGGGTTTGATATTATTGGAAAAACATGAAATTTAAGAAATATTTCCAGGGGGCTGGGAAGGTAGCTCAGTGGTAGAGTGTTTGCCTTGCATGCATGACGCCCTGGGTTTGATTCCTCAGCACCACATAAGCAAACAGAAAAAAGCCGGAAGTGGCACTGTGGCTCAAGTGGTAGGACGCTAGCCTTGAGCTGAAGAGCTGAGGGACAGCACCAAGGCCCAGAGTTCAGGCCCCATGACCGGACCCCCCCCCACCCCCAAAAAAAAGAAATATTTCTAGAATTACTTACTATCTGATATATTTCAGAAATAGTTAGCTTAAAATTTTAAGTTTTCATTAAAGGAATATTTTTTCTATTAAAGTTCTGAGAGTCTTAGAAAACTTAGGAAGGAAAAGACTTCTTAACTTTGGAATACATATATATATATGTGTCTATATACACACATACATATATATACACACATATGCTTATATATGTATATACATCTATTTATAAGCATATATGTGTATATATGTATTTTCCCCAAAGATAAAACAGCTGTTTGATTTAATCAAATAGATAAACTAAAATTATTCTTTTTTTGTTTTTTAAAATATTTTTTCTTTTTTAATATACATTTTTTATTGTAAAGATACTGTACAGAGGGGTTACAGTTACATGAGTAAGGTAATGAGTACATTTCCTATTGAGCATTGTTACCCCCTCCTTTGTTTTTCCCCTACCATCCTTTCCCTCCCTAACTTGTCTCTGTCCCCCATCCCCCATCCCTCAGCCCCCCTCCCACCCCGCACGCCTGAAGTTGTAAAGTTCGTTTTCAACATAATGTCTTGTATGTCTCATTGTTACAATGGGTCAACCTTTATCCCTATTTAAGCGTTTTGTTTTTTCCCTTCCCCTCCCCAAATTAGAAAAATGTATATACAAGGTATAGGGCACCAGAATCAAATACAGTGAAAACAGGGGTTATACCATGGGGGAAGAACATACAAAAGAAACAAAAAAAAAATCACATAGTTCATTATAAATATGTTAAAAACAATAGCAAGCAAGAAAAAAACTATTTGTGTCCCTATCTTAGCGTTCATTTCACTTAACATCATCTTATATGGTCATATGTACATAGCTTTTGACCTTTTCTGCTTGTCATAGACATATACTAGTTATTGCAAATAAGGAAAACCATAGGACCTATATTTCTTTAGACCTAGCTTATAAATGGGGCAATGTAATTCTTTCTGATGGAGGAATAGAATTCCATTGTGTGTGTATATGTGTGTGTGTATACATGGATATGTGTATGTGTGTGTGTATAATATATATATATAAACATTTTCTTGATTCATTCATCTACTGAGGGGCATCTGGGTTGGTTCCATATCTTAACTATGGTAAATAATGCTGCGATAAACATAGTTGTGCTAGTAGCTTTAGTGTGGTCTTGTTTGTGATCATTTGGGTAAATGCCCAAAAGTGGGATTGCTGGGTCATAGGGGAGTTCTATGTGAAGTCTTTTGAGGAACCTCCATACTGCTTTCCAAAGTGGTTGAACAAGTTTACACTCCCACCAGCAATGCAGTAAGGTTCCCTTTTGGCCCCTAAGATTATTCTTGTTTTGGGTATCATGTTATTGGTGTAATACTTGTTTCTGGAAAAAAATGTAAGATGGACTTTACTTAAAAGAGAAAGGTCATTACATAGAATGTTTTATGATACATATACATATATATATATATATATATATATATATATATATATATATATATATATATATATATATGGCCTTGGGTTCAATCCCCCTTCCCCCATTTTTTTCTTGCTGTAATAGAGTATTTGTTTTTTTCTTTTTTCTTGATTATAATTATGCAGCCCAAGTTGTTACATCGTGTTGTGGAACAGTTGCAAAAGATGCATTTTATTACCGATACTCTGTCAAAGGGGGATACAAAGTTCATGGTAAGTGCTAACTTGACTAAATACAACTTTTGGAGACTGTTCAGTAAGCATTCTGAACGTATAACTTCATAGTAGCTTTGTATTACAGTCAACAAATAGGATATCTGAGACTTTGGGGAAAAATAATTGGCACAACCTGGATGCAAATGGTTAATGCAGGTAATCAGCTCAGAGGGTTCAAAGTTTGAAGCCAGTTTGGACAGAAAAATTCACAAGACTCCCTTCTCAATCATCATCACTGGTTGTGATAATGGCATCTATCATCATAGTTACTTGGGAGACTAAGATTGGGAAGATCATAGTTACAGGATAGCCCAGAAAGATATGTCCTTGAGACTCTGAATCAACTGAAAAAAATTGGTTTGATGATGCACACCTGTCATTAAACAGCTTTGATAGGTGTGACTCAAGTAATAGAGTGCCAGCTGTGAACAAAAAAGCCAAGCAGGATCTTAGGTTCAGTTCCCGTACTGGAACATGTGTGCACATATATTTGCATGCACACACACACAATCAAATTAAAGGCATAATTTAGATATTTTGTAGTTGCCTACAACTTTGAGAATATGAACTTTTTTGAAATGTCTAGAGTTTTAGTATTTTCCTAAGTATATAAATCTTTCCAGGCCTGGTAAGTAGTCATGCCTGGGTGCTGTCCTTAAGCTTTTTTTTTTTTTTTTTCTTCAAAGCTAGGGATCTACAACTCAGCTCCACTTTTGGCTTTTGGTAGTCAACTAGAAGGCTCACTGGCTTTCCTACCTAGGCTGACTTTGAGCTGAGATCCTCAGATTTCAACCTCCTAAATAGGATTGGAGGTGTAAGCCACCTGTGCCTGGTGGACTTAATATTTTTTATGAAAGCTCTGAGTACTAACTGTCATGTAGAAGAACTGGAAAGTAGTAGCTCTAGAATTCCTGAATCTTGCACTTATTTTCTCTTAGGTGCATTTTATTATGTAAAATTTTTTCTGCCATTAAGCAAGAGTTCTCATTTGTGAAATAATAAAGTGCCTTAAAAGGCTTAATTATCATCTTATATGTTAGAAAATCACTCAGATTAATTTGGAGACAACATAGATAATTATGTCTTGTGGCAAAGGAAAGGTGAATGTTGATGTGTTTATTATAGCATGCAAGAAGAATCTTACTCTGGCTTGGTTACTGATTTGTTAGGTGGCATCAGGCTAATTGTTTTACCTTCTGAGGGCTTAATTTCCTGTCTGTAAATGATCATGTTTGGGCAGATACCTAGCATATGTGATCCCCAGTACTGCAAGTAAATAAAGTCACAACTTTGCTCTATGTCAGGTGACTATTATGGAAATCAAATTAAGAACTGTGCTTAGAAATGTTAGGGATTTGTACAAATATTAAGTGTACAAATAAGAATTTGTATAACTTTGAAGATGTATCTTCTAAGAGTACTATACAGATATAAAGTACCATTTGTTTGGAAATAGGTCTGAAGGAATAGGTCAAGACCTGGTAAGATTAGAATGAGGAATAACAGAAGAAAGAGGTGATATGAAAGGAGAATGAAGTGGGGAAAATAAAAAACAAAAGAAGATACATTCAGTCACTTTAGCTCCACTTCTGTTTTTTTGGGTAGTTTAGCACAGATAAGAGTTTAACAGACTTTGCTGCCCAGGCTGGCTTTAAGCCTTGATCTTCAGATCTCAGCCTCCTGAGTAGCTGGATTACAGATATGAGGCACCAGCTTCCTATTCTTTCTATCCTTTTTTGTGTTGATAATTTTGAGATAAGGTCTTGGATTCTGCTGGGGTGAATACTATGGCCATGATCTCCATCATTTGACTTCCAATTGTAACTAAAATAATAGTCACATACCACTGTGTCCAGGGGAAGGAGTCTCTTAAAATTTTCTGCCTAGGCTGCCTCAAACCATGATCCTTAAATTCTCAGCTTTCCAAATAGCTAGAATTACAAGCATGAGCCACCAGTGCCCTGGTAGAAAATTCAAAATTTGGTCATGATTATGGTTGTTTTCATATATGTATGGGTTGTTGCCTATTCTAGAAAAAATGGGAAGGCCAACTTTGATCATCTTTGAAAATTATAGGTGTATAATGAAGCCTCACTTGTAGAGAAGAAAGAAAATGATTCTATAATTTATCTTTTATATTCATTTTCCATATTCTCCTTCCCCTTCTGTCTTGTCTGTCTCATAATTTGTGAGAGCTTTCCTCAAATTTCTACTTCTGTTGTCATATTTAAATCTTTCCTGAGCATTGCTTTTCTGAAGTATTCTGTGCATATTTCATGGATCAAAAACCTTTTATTATCTGAGAATATTACATTTTTTTTTTTGTCTTATTTTACCATTATTTCTTCCAAGTTGCTTTTTTTTTTTGGTTGGTCATGGGGCTTGAACTCTGGGTCTGGGTGCTGTCCCTCAGCTCTTCAGCTCAAGGCGAGCACTCTACCACTTGAGCCACCGTGCCACTTCTGGTTTTCTGAGTGGTTTATTAGAGATAACAGTCTCATGAACTTTCTTGCCTGGGCAGGCTTTGAACCATGATCCTCAGATCTCAGCCTCCTAAGTAGCTAGGACTAACTTTTAAAAAAAAAAAAAACATTTGATTAAAATTATCTTTATTCTTTAAAATGTCTCTTTTAGGGTGTCTGCCAACTTCCCAGTAAAAATGATGAAAAGGAATGTCCACACAGAAGAATTGATATCAGGTATGACTTGAATTTTGTTGCTGGCCTGTTTAGCTTTTCTTCTTTTGAACCAATTTCTCCCTTCCTCTGAGTATCTTGAAGTTTATTTAAATGTCTGTCTGTCTGTCTGTCTATCTATCTATTGTGTTAGTGTATAAACACATAGGGCCTAATGCAAGTTCTCTACCACTGAGCTACAGACCCAACCCCCAAACACTTCAAGTCATTTAAATTTTCCACCCATCTTTAACATCTCTCCTCTTTCTTGATTTTCTCTCTTCTCTATCTTCATTTAACCTCGTCTTTCTTTTCTCCTTCTCCCTTCTCTCTCTCTCTCTTTTTTTTTTTTTTTTGGGTCGTGGGCCTGAACTCTGGGCCTGGGCGCTGTCCCTCAGCCCTTCATCTCAAGGCTAGTGGTCTGCCACTGGAGCCACAGCGTCACTTCCAGCTTTTTTTTTTTTTCTGCTTATGTGGTGCTGAGGAATCGAACCCAGGGCCTCATGCATGTAAGACAAGGGCTCTACCACTGAGCCACCTTCCTAGTCCCCTCTCTCTCTTTTTTAACTGGTAGTTTGGAGGCTTGAACTCAAAGCCTCATGCTTGCTAGGTGAGTGCTCTACAGTTTGAACCATACTATAGACAAATCCCTGTTTAGTCTGAAAGGCCGTATGTTTCTGCTGATTAGAATATTTAGCCTGAAATACGTAAGGAACAAAGACTATATGCAGACTGCTTTCACCTCATCATGATTCCTCCCACAGCCCCAAAATAGTTCCTGCAGGGGGACAGCAAAATAATAATTGCTTTTCACTCGTTTATCTCTTTCAGAGCAAAACTTAAAGACCTGTGTTATTGTTTTAGACAAACACGATCTTGCTATGTAGTCCAGACTAGTCTTTTTTTTTTTTTTGATTAGAAAAAGATTTGGTCCTCAAAATGTTCAAGTTAGGCTTACATGGGTGCTCTACATGATCAGTAACATTTCTCTAGTAATGAATTATAGAAATGATCCCTGAAAGTATAGTCTTGTCCAGACTAGTCTTGAACTTAAGATCCTCTTGCCTCAGCCTCTTGAGAGCTGGAATTATAAGTAGGCACTACCACACCTGGCTCAGGAATATAGTTTTAGTCTAGATTCCTTTTAAATAAAACCAAGTGAATCATTAGATCTACCAAAAAAAAGCTTGACTTTTAATTTGAAAATGACCTGTAAAGTACCTTAAGGATCCTTCTTTCTACATAAAATAAGCTCTAGAAAGAAGCTTTATCTCCAGATGCCTCTGAACAGACACCAAGAGTTGTTGAGCTTTTACTCAATTAAAAGTGAGTCATTTCGTTGAAAAAAAAAACAAACAAAAAACTTGAAGACCTAAACAGACTGCAAGTTTGGGTGATTTGAATGATCAACCTAGTGATAATCTCCTCTTCAGGATATTAGACCATATGTGTATATTTTAGGTATTTTGTTCCTTGCTGTTTTTTGAAGTCCTATGTTTATTACATTTCAAATATATAATAAAAATTATCTGCTTTTTTCTTTTTAGATTGATACCCAAAGATCAGTATTACTGTGGTGTTCTCTACTTCACTGGCAGTGACATTTTCAATAAGAATATGAGAGCTCATGCCCTAGAAAAGGGTTTCACAATTAATGAATATACCATCCGTCCTTTGGGAGTTACTGGTGAGTCTTCATGACTATCCTTGTCATCTGGAGAGGTTTTTCTTTTCTTTTCTTTTTTATTGGCTATGGAGTTTGAACTGAGTTCTTTTCTTTTTGTTGGTTGTGGAGCTTTTTTTTTTTTTTTTTGGTTGGTCGTAGGGCTTGAACTCTGGGCCTGGGCGCTGTCCCTCAGCTCTTCAGCTCAAGGCAAGCGCTCTACCACTTGAGCTACAGCGCCACTTCCGGTTTTCTGGTGGTTTATTGGAGATAAGAGTCTCACGGTCTCTCCTGCCCTGGCTGGCTTTGAACCGCGATCCTCAGATCTCAGCCTCCTGAGTAGCTAGGATTACAGGCGTGAGCCACCAGTGCCCGGCTGGTTGTGGAGCTTTAACTGAGTTTTTTTTTTTTTGGGCCTGGTCATGGGGCCTGAACTCTGGGCCTGGGCGCTGTCCCTCAGCTCTTCAGCTCAAGGCTAGCACTCTACCACTTGAGCCACAGCGCCACTTCTGGCTTTTTTCTTTTTGCTTATGTGGTACTAAGGAATTGAACCCAGGGCCCCAGGCATGCAAGACAAATGCTCTACCACTGAGCCAACTTCCCAGCCCGAACTGAGTTCTTTTTGTCCCTGAGTTCTTTTCTCAAGGCTACCTCTCTACCACTTAGAGCCACAGCACCACTTCCCATTTTGTGGTGGTTAATTGAAGATAGAGTCTTACAGACTTTTCTGCCCTGGCTGGCTTCAAACTGATCCTGAGCCTCCTGAGTAGCTAAGATTATAGTTGTAAGCCACTAATGCCCAACTGGAGAGAAAATTTTTCTCAAAAGATATTTTAGGTGACCAAATTTAGTTTTTGTAAAAAGGTTTCTATAGACTATGCAAAATAATTGTAGTCCTTCAAGTTAGGACAGGCATTCCCAGGCCTCAATTCATGGGTGTTATTCAAAGCAAGTTATTTCTGCCTCTACTAGAATGGGTTAGATCCTTCCTCCTATGATGATCATTAAAAAAAAAAAATTCTGAAAGGTTTGTTAGTTACTTGGTCTATTGCCTTTTTTATGTGTTTATGCGCCTATACTAGGGCTTGACCTCAGAGCCTAGGTGCTCTCCTTTTGATTTTTTTTTTTGGGTGTGTGTGTCAGTCATGGGGCTTGAACTCTGGGCCTGGGTGCTATTCCTGCCCGGGCTGGCTTTGAACCACGATCCTCAGATCTCAGCCTCCTGAGTAGCTAGGATTACAGGCATGAGCCACCAGCGCCTGGCTTGATTTTTTTCTTTATCTTTTTTTTTTTTTGTCAGTTGTGGGACCTGAACTTTGGTCCTAGATGCTGTATCTCAGCTCTTCAGCTCAGGGCTAGCGCTCTACCACTTGAGCCACAGTGTCACTTCTGGCTTCTTTTGCTTATGTGGTGCTAAGGAAGTGAACCCAGGACCTCATTCATGCAAGGCAAGCACTCTACCACTGAGCCACCTTCTTAGCCCTCCCTTTGATTTTTTTTGCTCACAGTTAGCACTCTACAACTGCTCAACAACTTGAGCCACAGCCACAGCTCCTCTTCCATCTCTTGGTGATTAATTAGAGATAAGAGTCTTACAGATTTTCCTTCCTGGGCTGGCTTTGAACCGAGATCCTCAGCTCTCTGAACCACTGTCTCCTGAGACAATGTCTTCTGAGACTCAGGTATATTACTTTTTAGTGCCACTTAAAACTGACAGGTTGGAGTATAACTCAGTGGTAGAGCATGTACTTGGCATACCAGTACCAACAAAGCAAAACAAAAGAAAATATTTAAAAGGATGAGGATTTATCCTTTATGCTTTATGGATCTTGTTAACATTTGACAGACTATTATATGGTTTATTCTTTTCTGTTTGGGAGAATGAATTTTTGTCATTGTGTCCTAAAAGCATGAAATAGAGCATTAATCATCAGTGCCTGGGGCAATGCTTCTCTTATTTTAATGTGCATACACCGAATGTATACATGTCACTTGGGTCTTTGTTGTTTTTTATTTGCTAGTCATGGAGTTTGAACTCAGGGCCTGGGCACTGTCCCTGAGCCTCTTTGTGCTCAAGGCTAGTACTGTACCACTTGAGCCACAGCAGACTTCTGGCTTTTCTGAGTAGTTCATTGGAGATAAGAGTGTCACAGACTTTCCTGCCCAGGATGGCTTCAAACCACAATCCTCAGATCTCAGCCTTCTGAATAGCTAGGATTATAGGTGTAAGTCACCAGCATTTGGCTTCTTTGGTTTAATTGGGGGAGGAGGGTGAGGGGAGAAATTTGGTATTGGGTTAACTCAGGGCTTTTGTTTGCTCTGGTTAGTTTTTGAATAAAGTCTTTCTTTTTTGCCTGGGCTAGCTTGGACCATGATCCTCTTATTTATGTTTCTTGATCTATCTGGATAACAAGCACACAACACTGTGCTCAGTTTTTCTATTTAGATGAGTCATAGACTTTTGCCCAGAGTATCCTGGAACTGTGAGCCTCCAGATCTTAGCATCCTGAGTAGATAGGTTTACAAACCTATCTACTGACACCTGGCTTGGGTCCTTATTAAATGTGTATCTAATTCTATAGGCTTGGAGTGGGAATCAAAAATCAGTCAGTCAATCAATTTTTTTTTTTTAACTCCCTGAACTGAGGCTTGAACTTAGGACCCTTAGCTTTTTGGGTCTACCATTAAGCCACAGCTCTACTTGCAGTCTTTTGTTGGCTAAATGGAGATGAGTCTTTCATACTTTCTTCCCTAAACTGGCATTGAACCACTATTCTCATATCTCAGCCTTCTGAGTAGCTAGGATTAACAGGCTTGAGATACCAGTATATAACCTGTTCTTTCTCTTTTTGTTTATCAGAGACAGGGTCTTACTATGTAGCTCAGGCTGGCCTGGAAATTGCTGTCCTCCTGCTTCAAGCTCTCCAGTGCTGAGATTACAGGTGTGCACTCATCGCACCCAGCTCAAGATTACATGTTTCTACAATGTTCTAGATAATGCCAATACTGTTAATCCAAGAACCACATTTTGAGCTTCAAAGAAACTAACTTAGAATCCTCATATAATACATGATGACTGCAATGGAGGTCCAGTATAGGGGAAAATCATAAGTTAGGGTGACTTCTATGACTATAGTTGAGATACTCAGGTTAACAGAAGCTCATATGGAAGGAGGGAGGAGGTGAATATCTTATTTTAGTGGCTTGCTAACTGTTTGAATTCTTTCCTTTTTTCGTTTTTTGTGTTACTAGGGATGGAACTCGGGGCTTTTTATGCACATTGTGTAAGCATTCTTCTACAGAGCGATAGTCTCAGCCATGTAACCATTTAATTTTTCATCTGAAAGCATCAGTCCTGAACCCTGGGTAACTATATTCCAAAAATGGTTCTTAAAATACATTTCTTTTTTTCTCTCTACTTGTAGGAGTTGCTGGAGAACCCTTGCCAGTGGATAGTGAGAAAGATATCTTTGACTACATCCAGTGGAAATACCGAGAACCCAAGGATCGAAGTGAATGAGGCCTATTCTTCCTCCCAGTCATAGCCCAGTAGGAGTCTTAATTTATTTCTTAACCTTTGCTTTGTAAGGGTCTTTGTTTTTAAATGATTGCTTTGTCCCCATGCCTAGCTTGTACAATAGTCAATAAAACTTCTTGCATTGCTATTGGATGATGTTCTTATTAGTAAATGTGTTCGCTTTGAATTTCATTGTGTTTTTGATCATAGTTTACTATGGGAGTAGTAGAAAGAAGTAAGAAATGAATGATACACTGAATGATTCCACTGCTTTTCCACCTATTTACTAATTTGGTCTATTAAGGTACTTTCAGAGGCCTGCCTCTGGAAGATGGTTTAATATTCTTTACAAACTAAGACCTTCATACATTTTTTTTCCTCTGAGTCATAATCTATTTTGTAATATATATTTGTAACTTAAATAGAAAATGAGGTATATGGTTTATTTCTTAAGTGAAATCTATAGCTGTTTGTTGTAGTCTATTTGAAAGAACTTCACTAAACAAACTCACTCTTGTTTAGAAAGTATGGCCTCCTAAACTTCAGACAAATTCAATGCTTGCCTTTCATTAAGGTAACTTTTACATACAAAAGGTCAAAATATAGAAGTAGAAATACTTTGAAAGTCCTCACTTTCAAACAAAAATTATATAAGTAGAAAAGCATAGTTATCAAATGTTAGTTAACTAGAGTTATCAAAAACAAAATATGTGAAAATGCTTTTTACTGAAATGTCAGGTTTCCTTTCAATGAATGATGGAAACTAACCAAACAATAGGTATTCACTTTTTTTTTGGCTGGTCTTGGGCCTTGAACTCAGGGTCTGGGTGCTGTATCTGAGCCTCTTTGTGCTCAAGGCTAGCTCTTTACCACTTGAGCCACAGCTCCACTTTCATAAACAAACAGTAGGGTTCTTAAGGAAAATTATAGTATTTGCTGTGATAATTTTCTCTGGTAAAATATATGAGTTCTCTTTTTTGTTTTTGGTGGTACTGGGGTTTGAACTCAGGGCTTTGTACTTGTAGATAGACATTCTACCAATTGAACCACATCATTCAGCCCTTTTTGCTTTAGTTATTTTCAGATAGATTCTTGTTCTTTGATTCTTCAACTCATGCCTTAAGAGTAGCTGAGATCATGAGAATGTGCCATTATGTGTGAGCCCTTATGTGTGACTTGGTGGTTAAGATGGAATCTTGCTGACTTTTTGCTGGTTTTGAACCACTTTTTATTTTAATTTTTTTTTTGGCAGTACTATGGGGTTTGAACTTGGCCTTATAGTAGGAAGGTGCTTTATCATTAGAGCCACTCTGCTTTTGGTATTGGTTATTTTTTGAGGTAGGCGCTTGCTCTTGGACTAATTTGGGCTTTGATCTTCCTACTTGTGCTTCCTGTATGGCATAGGTATGGCACATACCTTGCGGTGGAGTCTCAAGAACTTTTTTATGGCTGGGCCACTAGTGGCTCACGCCTGTAATCCTAGCTACTCAGAAGGCTGAGATCTGAAGATCATGGTTCAAAGCCAGCCTGGGCAGAAAAGTCCCTGTGAGACTCTTATCTCCAATTAACCGACAGAAAACTAGAAGTGGAGCTGTGACTCCAAGTGGTAGAGCACTAGCCTTGATAAGCAAAAAAGCTCAGAGACAGTGCCCAGGCCCTAAATTCAAGCCCCATGACTGACAAAACAACATCATAACTTTTTTTTGTCCAGGTTAGCTTTGAACCCCAATTCCCCAATCTCTGCCTTCTAAGTAGTTAGAATTACAGGCTTGAGCCATCATGTCTGGCTCTAGTTTACTCAATTTTAACTTTTCAGGTTCCATCACTTTTTTCTGCCTTGAAGATACTATTAAATACCAGCCCTTTACCCAAAATGAAATATTAAACTATTAACTAGTTTACCATATGTATAACAAAAACATCATGCTCCCCTCTGTACAGTATGTTCACAAAAAATAAAAATTAAAATTAAAAAAAACATCATGCTGTACATCTTAAGTATATAGTTTCCATTTTTAAAAAGTTTATTAAAACTTACTGAATTGCTAAATCAAAATTATTATTTTTTGTTATAGAATCTCATGTTTTTTAGAATAATAGACAAAAAGCCAAGGCTACTTTTCAGTCATTACAATACAGTATCTCATAATTGTCTACTTTTAGTCTAGTTCTGTTGCTAAAAGATTTGCTATTAAGAGATAGTTGCATGCTAGTGTCATGACACTAGTCCCAGCCATCTGGAAGCTGAGGTAGGAGGATGAATTTCAGGCCAGCCTGTGTTATACAGTGAGATCTTGTCTCCAAAAACTAAAACAACAAAACATATAGAAGTGCTTTAAAATGAATGTTTGAGACCCTGCTTTAACACAAGATTATAACTTTGCATATTTTTGGCACACTCTCAATCTTGCATGTTTTCGACTGCCAGCCACCTGATTTCCACATTGTAGTCCAGGACCACAGTCACAGCGCTGGAAGATCTCAGGAGCCTGCACATTGTCTTTATGTCCTCTCCTTGAGCAGACCTGTCCCTCTAATAGGACTGGTTTACAAATTTTAGTCCAGAAGTGACGAGCACAGCAAAGTCCAGGGCCACAGTCAAAAGTTCTAAGACAGCTGTCACCTTCTTGTCCTGTAACAAGATTAATATTGACTTTTGTGGTAAATGGGAGTGATTCATGTGGGGAAGGGGATGGCTGCTGAAGGAATAAGGTCAGGACTCCAGGACCGAATGCCATGAAGCAAAAACAAGCATCCTTCAGGGCCCTCCTTCACAAGTAGAAATTCTGTCTTTCTATGAAGTCAAATATACATCAAGGAAGGAGGATTTCTATTATTGAGAGAAGAAGTATCACTACAAAATTTTATTAAATGGGATTCATAGTAATGCAGAGAAATCATTAGAGAAGACAGGAATGGCCTGTTTGTGTTCAAGCATTCTGGCTGTACTATATCAAAGACTGGAACTCCATGCTACAATTTTGTTTTGTTTTAAAACAATTGTAATTGATATTTTTCACAAAGTTGAAAAGTTAATGCATCTACTTCATCTCTTATGTTCTGAGGATCTAGGCAGGGAAGCTGTCACTTGTTAAATTACAGTATAAACTAGAAGAAAGGTGTGTGTAATGAAATTGAACTTGACAAGGAAGGGTTTCCTTTCTAACTAGTCCATTATTGTAACTCTTCCCCTGCCTTTGTGTTCTGCTGGATGCCTTGTGCTACCTTTGCTTAGTGTGCAAGCTGCTTAGGAAGAGATTATAGACAGGACATCCTCCCTATGTTCAGGTATAGAGAATGAGCTCCAAACTGTCCAAACTGTGAGGCTGGGAGGGGAAAATGTTTTTCTGAAATAAAATGCTTAGAATGCTGATCTTACCCTTAATGCCTTGTGATTTCTTGGTATTTAGCTTCCTGTTGGGTTTGTTTTCCTCAGTTGGATGCCCGCTATTTCCTTTTGTTTCCAGGCTGTCTTGATCATCACTCTTTGTTTCCATTATTGTGGCTACATCTTCCATCGCAGTACAAACATCTGAGGGACAGCCAGAGGGAACTAGAGTTATTAACTCCGTTATTGAAGATATTGAAGTTAGTAACTTTTTAACTTTATATGTGCGCCAAGGATTTACATGCTCATATAAGGCAAAGAGGATAAATAATAGGATTCAAGTGAAAATGGAATAGTTTGTACTATTCCAACTTGAATCTTCAAAATCATTAATCTTCAAGTTACTGGCAAGAATTGTTGCCAGGTAGTAAGTTTATTATTACTATTTTTTGCAAGTATAAATTAATTTGTTTCACTGAAAATGGGTATCTGCATAAGTATACTTCAAGCTAACTCAAGGAGACCATGAGAAGGACTATCTGGGAGCAATACTCTAGTCTAGGAGGCACAGATCTATATAGGCTATGGCTTCTCATGCTGTTCATGGGGTTGTAACTGCTCACCATTCATGCAGAGTGTCCCTGGGCAGCACATGGCACTACGCTGGCACTTTCTCCGTACCCCACGGCATGTGGTGCAGAATGGCTTCTCATCCCGGGGCGTTAGGCAGAATTTTCTGACACTGCAGTCTTTGTCTGACATACACTGTGAACCCTGTGAAGGGAAACTTGTCACATGGCTGGGGGATCCAATAAGATGTAAGATAACATTATTCTAGGCTTAGATGGAGCAGCCTAATCACAGCACAATTTGGAGGCTGTGACATTTTAGGAAGCATCTTAATTGTCCAATGTAGTTGATTTTCTCCTGCAAAGGGGAGCTTAAACCACCTGTGAAGGGACCTCAGTTCTGCAGAGGTTTGGGCATGGAACCCAGGGCCTCACACATGCTAGGAAAGTGCTCCATCACTGAGTCACATCCCTTGTCTTAACTCGAATTTAATTTTCTTATGCTTTTGGAAGGAAAATAATTTTCTATGCATGTCTTATAGATGACAGGTTTTCTAAACTTAAGAACAGTAGATGTTGTGCTACATGTAAGTAAGAATTGGCATTGATAGTATTGCCATTTAATTTTTAATGTAGTGAATCTCATCTAGCATTGCATCCGTTACTGGATGATCCTTTCCCAGATGAATTGTTCTTTGGTAAGTATATAGTATAATAGTTAAATATACACATACACACATGAATGTATATATGTATGTACGTATATACATAAACATATATATGTAGGCAAGCTAACTGACTTGAAAAACCACTTTGCTGTTTTAATGTGTGATTACTGAGGCAACTGGATTATACCTAGATGCCTTTTCCATTCCTACTCCTGTCAGTTTTCTATGAGATAAGCTATTTCGTGCATTAATTTGAATGACTTACTAAAGTCTTAATTTGGCCCTCGCTATACAGACCACATTCATCTCCTAACCACAAACCACAGCATCTTAGCCCTGACTGCACCTACCTTCCAGGCTCCTTGCACATCAGCAGGGCTCTTGATGTTGTTGAAATCCAGAACCAGAGCTCCCAAGGGCAAGTAGAAGCAACTGAGACCAAGCAAGGCCACCAGCACCATCCTTTGTCACCTGGAGCTCCTTGATGTTCCCAGTACTCTGCCGGATGCACTAAACCTACAGCCCAGCCTTCCCAAGCTGGAACCTGGCAAGTCACCTGAAAAGGCTTTTTCTGAAGTAGGAT